GAGAATCAAAATTTTCTTTGTAACATAAAATTATGTATTTTTATCATCTCAAATATGTGTATTATGATTATTAGATTTTCACATCACTTGAGGATAATTATATGATTTTGATGATTGATTTACTTGTGAGCTATCGATGGATAATTAAAGCAAAACTTTCTTCTTAGGTTGAAACGACATAGATTTATTATGGAGCGATCCTTTTAGTTTAATTTTTTTATTGATAATGATAAAATTTAAATTTCTAACTTTATTAAAGAATTATCATCTCATTCAAAATCTGACTCAGCATAATTTAATCATCAAAAGTAACCCATTTCACTGTAATTTTGCATCCCCAACTACAGGCCAGTATTTGTCTTTTGAACATGTTTTTATTATTAGTAGTAGCAGATAATTAATTAAAGTTTTTTTTTATATAAAAATAGATTTTATGTTGGGTTTTTCAAAGTTTGAATTTGCTGCAAACACAATTCACTTTGGTTCCCTCGGTTGAAAACAAATTGTAGACCATGATTTGCCCCACTTACAAAGTATAGTTTAAGTACCTTTAATAATATTTTTAGTTGACTTTAGACTCAAGAAAGAATATTAAGTTGGGGGAAAATTTAAAGTGTAAATTAAAGAATAGTTTATCATGATAATTTTTGTTTAATTTAATTTTTTAAGGAAAATAAAGATGTGCAACACTTTTTTTTTAAATATTTGTGAAATTAAGAAAATTAACAAAACAATATGTTCTATTATAATGAATTAAAAACGGGGTAAACTATAAATTTCATTATTCAACTTTCTTCTCACATCTATTTTGGTCAGTAAAATTAAAAAAAAACTATTATTTAAACTTTATATTTACTCATATTTTAGTCGTTTGAGCGTTAAATCAAAAATGAAAATGTGACATGAGAGCTACGTGTACTGACATGGACTACTTTTTACTAACATGACATCCACTTGTTATTCACAACATTTCCCTATTTTTATTTCTTTTTTTTATTATTTTATTTTCTTCTTTTTCCAAAAATGAAACTTTTATAATTTCATCATTGTGTCACACTTATGAAGCTCATGAAACCCTAAACCACTTTGATCTACAATTCCCACCATCCAATCAACATGAACTCAAGATATACAACTCGCTTTTTCCTTCTCCGCACCTTTGAAATTTGAAAGAAGATGGTACATCGTCGAGAAATTAAAAAAAATCCAAAATAAGGGGTTTTCATAAAAATATAGTAAACATTTTGGGTTATTTCATAATTTGTAAAAGTCAAATGTCTAGTCATAAGGATGTTAAATATTCAGCAACAATATGATCAAAATCGGAACAAATCGAATTTTAGTCGAGAAATTAAAAAAAAATCCAAAATAAGGGGTTTTCATAAAAATATAGTAAACATTTTGGGTTATTTCATAATTTGTAAAAGTCAAATGTCTAGTCATAAGGATGTTAAATATTCAGCAACAATATGATCAAAATCGGAACAAATCGAAATTTTAGTAAGTAAATAGAAAACTTTTAGATTTTAATGACTGAAATAGGATTGAAAATAAAATTGAGTATTGAAATTTATAATTTACCCTAAAAATAAATCAACCATATGTCAGTTTTGGAGCCTATTTATCTAATTATAATAGTTTTAAATTATTATTATTATTATTCAATATGAGGAAAAAGTTTATGGGTTTTTCCAGCTAGTTATAAATTAAAGAGAGTCATGATTTTCCCTTTATGTAGAAGAAACTTTTTTGGCTTTGCATGGTAATGATCACTCCATAAAAAAATAAAAAATAAAAAATAATGATAGAATTATGGAGCACAAGAAAGTGATTGAGAAAAGGGGAAAAACATTCCCTTTATACTTGAAATGATTAAACTCATAAAGAAAATAACTCAAATTTGATTTATTTTCATTAAACTATAATGATAAAAATATTGGTGCATTATTATTATAATAATAATATTATTATTATTATTATGATGGTATTATATAATCAATAACCAGATTGGAATCAAGCTAAACTAATTAATTTGTAAGAAAATAACTTATTATGTATTTAAATTTAAAAAATTAAAGGTCAAAACGACGTCGTTTAACTTTTTTTTCTTCGATTTATTCAAATTTTAAATAACCAAACTCATAATCCTAATCAAAAATTTGATTTGAATTGAATAATTCAATTCGAATTACTCAAAAAATTTAAATACATTTTTAGTCGAATCAAATTTTACTCACCTCTAATTACAATTATATCACAAAAACAAATAAAACATGTCCAAGTATACATTCTAAGAATTAATCATTATAAAACACAACTAAACTAACAATCAAAATATATTTGATTGGACTTACACATGGTATAGTTAAAATAAAAATTATATAAATATTTCTATTTTAAGTTATAAATTACTTGATTCGAAAATATGTAGTTTAATTGTCAAAAAAAATTGAAATTATACAGGTATTATTGGGTTATATGAACACGTGATTTAAATTTAATAAAAATATATATATTAATTTGAGGGATTAAATTGAAAAAAATAATAGTGTAAACAAATTTAAAGTTACATAAATATTTCACAATAGTTATATTTAAACACATGCGATTTAAAAAAACTGGTGTAACATGAATTTAAACGAAATTATTATTATTGATATTATTTTCTTCCTCTATATATACAGCATCCTTCCTTCCCCTGCTTTCAACTAAAAGCAATTTCCTCTTATCTTTTTCAAGTTCCCTTGCTTATTTCAACAATGGAGAACAATGAAAAATGCGCCCAATTTTCATCCTCTCTATCTCCATCTCCTTCTTCTTCGCCGCGTTTTCCTTCCCCTAGCTCTCAATCTCCTCCGCAACCTGCTTCTCCTACTCCGCCGTCCACGGTTGTTCTCAGCCCTTGCGCTGCCTGCAAAATCCTTCGCCGTCGCTGCGTCGAGAAGTGTGTTTTAGCTCCTTATTTTCCTCCGACCGAGCCTTACAAATTCACCATTGCTCATCGAGTTTTTGGAGCTAGCAATATCATCAAGTCTTTGCAAGTAAAATTCCCTTCTCTTTTAAATATTCTTTTTCAAAACTATCATTTTTTAACCTGGTTTTGTCAAAATTGAGATCAACATTTTCATTTATCTTTTCCAAGTTTTCTTTCAAAATCGTAATTATAATTTAACGACAATCAGAATATTAATATATATAAACAATTAATTACACAATTTAACAATTATAATTGAATCAAATGTTTGGAATGAATATCGAAAAAAGTACAAAATCAAAGATGACAAGTCCAAAAGCTTTCTCAAAATTTTCGTGTTTATGATTTAAGTTGGATTAAATTAAATAATAACTCAAGTTTTATATATATATTTTTTGAATTATTATTTATATATATATATATATAAATTTTAAATTAAAAAATTATTATCATAATAATTTGAGTTGAGTTAATTTGAACATATAAATCTTTATTTAAAGTTTGACGTATTTGATATGAACCTAGTAAGTAATAATAATTCAAACCTTCAAAAATCAAATAATATATGTCAAAATATTATCAAATAATAACTTAAAACAAATCAATCTAAATTTATAAAATATTTATCTAAAACTAAATTCAAACAAACTCAAATATATCAAACTTGAAAGTAGCATGGTGTACGAGGCGAGTGCTCGAATCCGCGACCCTGTGTACGGTTGCGCCGGGGCCATATGCCAGCTTCAAAAACAAGTGAGTGAACTCCAAGCCCAACTCGCCAAAGCGCAAGCCGAGACCGTCACAATGCAATGCCAACAAGCCAACTTGGTAGCCATTATATTGGAAATGACTCAATCGAAAGAACCCAACAACATTAATTCTCAGCAAGTTGACACCACTTGTTTTCTAGCATGGTGTACGAGGCGAGTGCTCGAATCCGCGCCCTGTGTACGGTTGCGCCGGGGCCATATGCCAGCTTCAAAAAAAAGTGAGTGAACTCCAAGCCCAACTCGCCAAAGCGCAAGCCGAGACCGTCACAATGCAATGCCAACAAGCCAACTTGGTAGCCATTATATTGGAAATGACTCAATCGAAAGAACCCAACAACATTAATTCTCAGCAAGTTGACACCACTTGTTTTCTCGATGATAATAATCTTGCTTCGGCTTGGGAGCCTCTTTGGACGTGATGGAAAATTAGTCATGCAAATTATAGATATTAAGGGAGATAAAGAATTAAATTAAGTTAATATTTTTTTTATGTATTTTGTATTTATAGTTAGAGAATTTTCATTGAAGTAATTTAGTTTTTGTATTAGTGTATTATGTAAAAATTATAGATTTAGTTTATATTTTTCAGTTTGATTAAGTATTCATATTTAGTTATATTGTTCTTATATTATTTGGATATGATTTTAGAATTTTAATAAGTATATAGATTAAATTTTTTAAAATTATAATATGGCGATTAATCTTTAGTCTAGATATAGTAGGAGAGTTTAAAATCCAATTTTGTTAGTGTGAAAGGAAACAATACAATGAATTAATTGTAAACTTATAATATAATACAATGATATGTGGTATTATTTTCATTTTATTCTTTTGGTCTAGGTTTGAATACATTCTAAGGTTTGAGTCTCATTATGCATGGACCTTTAGATTTATTATAATTTAGATTCGAATATGTTCTAGATGTTAGCTTAGTTTGTGTAATATCTAACCATTTACTCATATTTAATTCAATTCAAATTGACCTGAAGATTTAAAGATCGATTAGAATTAAAAGTTGATCGATTTGATGTTGATTTGTTATGAAAATCGACCAATTCAATATAATTCAAACTACTATCTAACTCAATATGATTCATCATATATCTGAACTATGTATGAATCATATCTAATCTAACCCGAATCAAGCCTAAACTAAATGTTATTCAAACCTAAAATAAACCAACCTGTACTCGATTTGAACAACCCGATCACCACTATTGATCAAACTAATCATTTCTATTAATCTTTTAACTCACCTGGTGATCGAAACTTCATCGTCGTATATTTCCTGCTCTGTCTCATCTTCATATCCTTAAGCTCAATCTCCATCGGGAACCTTCCAACTCCAAATGCAAACAAATACCACCTTGATTTAACTGGAGTTGATACTTTCTTGACCGGAAAATAAACTTGTCATCGCTAAATTTCCCGTATTTGTTCTTGGAAATCGATGCCAGCATTGAAAACGGCTTGTTGAAACTGTCTTTCTGATTCTTTCGTTGATTTTGATGAAAGAAATGTTTTTGACTTGTTGAATAATGAAGGCGACAACGATGAAGTTTTCCAGTGAAACAAGCAGCCGTTTCCGCAGTTGAAATTCTTCTTTTTCTCATGATTTTCTCGCTCGATTTTGAAATTTGGCCTCTGGGATTTGTTGCCAACATTGGGTTGACTTTCTCTGGAAGAAATGATTTTCCCACAGAAAATGATGTTTTTTCCGGGAAAGTTGAGGCCGAAGCAGGAAGTTCTTCACTGGAAAACTCAAACAAATCGCCATTCTCATCTTGCTTTGAGAAATCATCATCGTCCGGATAGGGCTGTAAATGAGACGAGACAGATCGCGAGCTACTCGATATCGACTCGATCTTGGCTCGATAAATACTCGGATCAAATGGACTCGACTCGAGCTCGAACTCGACTCAAGTTCTTAACGAGCCGCAACGAGCTACTCGATACTCGACTCGAAAAACTCGTGAGCAGCTCGAAAAATATTATATTATATTTTGATTTTTTAAAATTACATTATTAAAAATATATTAAAAATACATTATTGATAAATAAAATATCTTGAATTGAAAATGATTTAAAAATTATTTTTATTTATTTTAAATTAATAAAAAAAATATTTATCTAATGACAAATTTAATATATTTCTAATGATAATATTTTAATAACTAATTTTTAAATTGTTGTTGTATTTTCAGGTTTCGGATTCAAATATCATAAATATTAAGGGTTTGAGCATTTAATATCAATATACTATATTGTACTTACCTCATAAATCGGTACCAAGTCTATTAATTAATGTATTTGTAATGAACCTTAAACCCTAAAACCTAAACCCTAAACCCTAAATCCGATTATGTTATAGAGATTAAATTATGCACATGAAGGTAACATACAAATTATGCAAAATGATGTTATGTGACTCCTAAATAAATCATTCACGTACTTATACATAAACATATCAACATGCAAAATAAATATACACAACTTGTTGATTAAGACATGATTTTATCATATCTTAATGATGATTATCGACACCGTCATTGCTTTCAAACATTGACTCACCAACACAATATTTTAAGAGCTGACTTGACGACATAATGTAAACGGAGATTTGATGTACAAATACAACTAAAACGATGGTGTAACATCCGCAATACCGGGTTAGTGACCAAATTGTAAAGTTTCAGAATTTGGTGACTAAAGTAGAAGAATGAAAGAATTCAATGATTATTTGAATATATATTGAAGGTTATTTGGTAATTATTAAAGGAAATTAAGGGTATTATGGTCATTTGACCAGAAAGATTTTTTTTAAGGGTAATAAGCACGTATGAAGAAGAGTCCAGAGCATTCTTCAGTCTTCTTCTTCCTCCTCTCCACCGTGAAGCTTGGTATAAGGTAAGTGAGTCTTTAGTTGGTTAATTCTTTCGTTTTAAAGCTTGTTGATTCTTGGGATATTAAGAAAGATTAAGGAAAGCTTTAGGGGGCTTAAACCTCAAAGATTAACAAGTTATGAGAAATTAAGAAAAATGAGTTTTTAAGTGAATTTTTGATATGGAAGGAGTTAATAGATTGTGAAGTTGAATTTGACTTGTCAAGGATTAAATTAAGAGGTAGGAAGTGTTAGAATTGGAATTAGAACACTTGGAATTTGGTATGATTTTTGAATCTTATATGGAAGATAGAATTTTGAGGTTTAAGATGAAATAATGAAATAGGTTTAAGTATGTGTACTAGAGTTAAGGATGAAAAGGGGATGATATATGAAGTGTTTGAGAGGAAATGAAGTAATTTTCGGGTTGAAAATATGATTTCTGGGCAAGGGGAATCGGTACCCATTCAAGGGGAACCGATACCCCTTCAAACGAAAAGAATTTCCAGTATGTCATAGGGGAACCGATACCCCCATGGGGGGGAACGATTCCCCCTAAAGGAAAATTGGGGATATAGATTTAATAAGTTCGTTTAAATTGATAGTATCCAATTACAAGGTGTAGGTATCTAATGATGGTCTCGAAATGTACATTTATGTAGATTCTACGCATAAAGCAATTCCGAACGTTTAGCAAGTAAGATCGATCAAGGGAAAGATAAGAGATTGGATTTGGCTAGTGAGGCCAGGTGAGTGCATTAGTTTATGGTGCTAAATGGAAACAAGAGCGACAAGTCTATTTCCTATGTTAGAATGCATGAATATATGATTATACGTATATGAATGACATGAATTGTATGTATGCATGAATATATGTGTTGACATGCTTTTGAATGTAATGTTATGAGAAGTATGTGCTATAAGGTATATATATATACATATGTGAAACTGAACTATGTGACTGCATGAGAAAGATATGAGCCATATGACATGATATAGGTGAACATGAGAAAGCAAAGTATGAGATATAAACTATGTGATCATAGTAAAATATAATTATATTATTATATGATAAGTGAAATAAGCTGGATAATATTGATCTATAGGATGAAGTGAAAATAGTACACCAACTAGGGGATTGGAACATAAATGATAAGATGAACGTATAGATAAGCTAGATGGGAAAGATTCATAGGTTTAAATAAAACTATAACACATGGGTTGAATGATAGAAATTTGTGAAGTTATATGAGAAGATTATAAGAGCTATAAGAAATTGAATTAAGTAACAGATTAGATTATATATAGAAATAATAGAAGTGAGATATGTTTATAAGTCTGCCCTAGATGAATACGAAATATAAGAGTGCTATATGATTTATATTAGGATAATCTTGAGGATATATATATATATATGGATAGATATGAAATGAAATGAAATGAGTTATATGAATACCCATTATGTGATGAAATGGTGAATTACCTGAACATGTGAATATATATGTTTAAGAGAAGGCATACGATTAAGATATAAGAAATGTGACTATAAGTATATGTGTTTAAGTGATATGACTTATAAGTATTTCTATTATAATGTTACATGATATGTTATGTATGTTAAAGGAATTATGTGATGGTATAAGAATTGATAGGAAATATATATGTGAAAACAAGTATGATACGAGACAAAACTTATGACTATAAGCTACGTGAAAGTGTTCTAGGTGTTTCGATATATATATGAAGTATATGTCTTATGTGAACAAGATATGATAAGTATGTTTATATGAATAAAGGTGATTGGGTGAGAAATGATAGAAATTATATGAAAACATGACATATGTGACATGTGAATTATATGGAAATGATCTACGTGCAAGTGACTACGGGACTATGTGATCATATGAAAAGAAGCTATGTGATACGTGATATGTGAAGTGAATTACAAGTTTATGTGAATATTTGAAATGAAATAAATGATAACGCCCATGTTATGTGTCATGAGAGCTAGGGGTATAGTTGGCATGCCAAGAGTCGAGGGTTTATTCGTTCTTTAGGACATATGTATCCTTTGGAACCTGTGTGAAGTCTTGAAAGACATACTTGATCCATAGTATATGTATATGATTCTTAAGGAATTCTACGTGGTCCTTATGGACATCTTCTACGGGCACTACGGTGCAATTCTACGGGCACTTCGGTGCAATTCTACGGGCACTTCGGTGCATTTATACGAGCTGTGGTGACAGCATAGTGCACAACCTCTATAGACTCACATATCGATAGTTCTCACATATATACATGGGCTAATCCAGAGATATGAACAAATATAAGTTAGTGGTATGATAAATGCTATAGAAATTATATGATGTTGTGTGTATAGTGTTTGATTGAAAAAGTATGTGATTATATGATAACATGTGAATGATGAATTATGTGTATGTATGAATTTACTGCGATTAATCTGATATGATTCTATACGATATGAAAAATGCCTGGAATTGCTATAACATGATAGAACAGAACATGCATGTATCAATATATGTTTTAAAGTGCATTATAAGTGGTTATGCCTCACTAAGTCTTCGACTTAGCGTGTGATTGTTTCACACGTAGGTTTCGAGAAGAGTAAGGAGTGATGCGGAGCAAGACAGGTCAGTTTTCCTTACCAAAAGATCAGATCAGAAATATTTGATAAAGTATTTTTGGTTATGATAAAGTGTTGGCATGTAATAAGTCATTAAGTACGAGCACTCTGATAAAGTCTGTATTTTGTTTTAAATAAAGTTTTAAATTTCCCGGGATTTTTCTTAAGAGTCAAGGTTTGAAAAGTCAATGTGACACTTCGGACTCGTATCAGGGTCGGATACGGGTTCGGAGCAAGACAGGCCAGTTTTCCTTACCAAAAGATCAGATCAGAAATATTTGATAAAGTATGTTTTTGGTTATGTATAAAGTGTTGGCATGTAATAAGTCATTAAGTACGAGCACTCTGATAAAGTCTGTATTTTGTTTTAAATAAAGTTTTAAATTTCCCGGGATTTTTCTTAAGAGTCAAGGTTTGAAAAGTCAATGTGACACTTCGGACTCGTATCAGGGTCGGATACGGGTTGGGGGTGTTACAGATGGGATCATATTTTATCATACCCTAGTCAAGAGGTTAACATCAATATCATACAATCACCATCAGTGTCAAAATATTCGTATTTTACTCTTCTTTATTCTCATGGAAATATTTTCTTTGAAATTCACTCAAAATCGATGAAAATTCATTTAAAATTTTGATATACTAATACTTCGATCCATTCTAACGATTTTCCAACAATACTAATTTTGATAATTTCAAATTTTTAAGACTCGGTTCATTATTATCCTACTTTGGTTCATCTTTGTTATCTCCCGAAGAATATATATTGATATCTAAGTGAAGAGAATGGGAAAAGAAGAAGAAGCTTGTTATTCAGCTCATCAAGTAAAGAAGAAGAAGAAGAAGAAGAAGAAGAAGAAGAGCAAGGGGAAAGAGGGGTCATTTACATAATTTCAGGTCAAAACCCCTCAAAAACCTCTTGAAGCTAAATAGCTATGGCGGAAAATCCAAATATAGCCAAGCCAAGTAGGGAAAAATTAAACGTGGTGAGCTCCACGAAAAAAATATAGTTACTAAACACATGGAAACCCTCCTTTGCTTCAAAACCTTGATCCTCCGAGCTATTGAATATAATTGCAGGTCACTGGTTATTGTTTCTCTCTTTAAGGTTTGAGGAAAAAAACACCAACAAATATAAACTATATAAAATCATCACTGATCCAAAAAAAATATGTAAAAATCTTGTTTTGCAGTTGTTCATATCAGATGAACTTAAGCAAAGCCAGTTGTAGGCATTTCACGAGATCCTTCACTGTCATCGAAAACTCAGCTTCCATCTGCAGACGACGAGTCGACGATAATAAGTTAATTACCATGGAATATTTGAGGTTTAAGTCAAGGGTTTTAACATGTAAATCGTACAATACCTGAGCAACAATGGTTATGTCAAGAGTGGCTTGTCCGAAAGGCAATACATTGGTATTGAGCACAGAGAGATGAAGCTTTTCGACTTCGTTTAGGGGGATGCAGTTGGTCATGTGAGTTGATATCCCACATCGGTGGTGTTTGGGGAATAAGGGGTAAAGTGTGTGTATAAAAGGGGATGAGTTTCAGCAAATGAAAATTAACTCATTTTCGAGCTTGAATCGAGCTTGAAATCGAGCTTTTTAATCGAGCTTCTCAATCGAGCTTGCATCGAGTTTTTCAATCGAGCTCAAAATCGAGCTTTAATCGAGCTTGAGTCTCGAGCTTTAATCGAGCTCTTAAATTTTTTTTGAGTTCGAGCATTTTCGAGTTCGAGTCGAGTTTCAATATTTTTTTTCGAGTTCGAGTCGAGCTTGAAAATTTTAGGCTCGCGAGTTTTCGAGTCGAGTCGAGCTTACATATAAAGTTTTCGAGTTCGAGTCGAGCTCGGCAATACTCGAGCTCGACTCGGCTCGTTTACACCCCTAGTCCCAGAACTCATTTGAACGGTCATTGTCCATCACGAGATCGCAGAGAGAAAGTGTTTCTTCATAAGATTCATCACCAAAATCTTTCCAGGAATCTTTGATCTGTTGCATGGTTTTCCCAGGCTTATGATTCAACTTCCCAGCAGCTATTGAGAAAAGTACTAACAAAATCAAGAAAGATGAACATCAAAGTATAATATCACGAAAACAACGGTTGCTTTCATGAAAAAAGAAGTTATAATGGAAGAATAAGTTGAAATACACGCACATATATACACACATACACATAATGTATATATATATATTTTACTGTAATATAGTGTATATTTAGACGGCATCTAGAGAAATAAAAATAAACTAAATTTTAAAAAATAATAATAGGATGATACGCATGTATAGTATAATATAAATACAATATAAAGAGTTAATCAATATATATATATATATATATATAATATAAAGACAGGAGATAAATATTTGATAGCTTGATATTAGAGTTTTTAATCATAAAATGAATTTGAATTTCTGTTTTGTGACTGAAATATTTTTTAACGATTCCTATTTATGGGAGAGAAAGGAGAATTAAATAAATTGGATTGGAAGAGTCGTACTCGTATTAAGTCTTTATAATATCTAATATGGATTAATTAATTAATAGATCAAATATTATCGTATTGATGGTTAAAAACATTTAACAATTATATAATTTTACTTGTGGTCCGTTATTAGTAGGTATAAACAATTTATCTGAAATCGATGAGTTTTGACTCGATACGATTTTATAGGGTTTATTTTTTTTTTGTTGAAAATTTGGGTTCGAGTTGTGTTGAGTACAAGTTCTGGGTGAAAAATATCCAATCAATTCAACTTGGAAATAATAGTATAATAAGATAATTGCAATAACATCTCTCTCTATATTTTTAAGTCTATGTTTTACCTAATAAAAATGAGAATTATGTATATAAGGTCGGTTAGATCGAGTGTGAGTTTTTATCTAAAAAATTATATCAATTTTAGTAAGGTGAAACTTTCTTAAATCTGAATCGTGTCAGAGGATAAGTATAATGATATTATACTCGGATCGAATTTGGTCAAAAATCCGATCCATAATCATTCCCAATGGTTAATGAATTAAAAACTAATTTATGTATGTGTAGACATATTGTTTAGACTTCTGGAAGGTGGCTTTTTGTAGGTGAATTTTTTCCTTTCATGGGATTGAATTTCAACTTTCAAACATCAGCATTCGTCCTTTTCTTTATCTAATTTATAAAGGAAAAGGGGCTTTCCGCTTTAATATGAAAAAACAAGATGTTAATTAAGAAGATACAAGAGCAGAAAAGAAGGAATTGTTGCCTAATTTATACTAGTAATTGTTGTCTAATCAATTCGAAAGTTAGTATGTCCAAGTTCTACCATGTGTAAAATATTTTTTGTGATTTCGGATCCACATTATTATGATTTACATTTTGTCGTTGTCTAGGTTTATTTTCGTTTAAATTCAGTTATCAATCTATTCGTGTGGTGTAATGATTGATTCTAGTTGTAATCCGTCGACTGTTTTACGACTATTTTTTTGCAAGAAGTCCAAACATTTTATAACCCTTAAAAGAAGAAATGAATATGGTCAATTCAAAGTAAATTGTGAAATTCATAGTGTAATTGATGGAATTGGATGCAACATTAGAAGAGACTATTACTTCTTTGTTGATAACATGAAATGACAATGAAAGCAAATGAGTCCAAATTTCTACATTCCTAAATTTATAGACATTTTTAAGTTTGTTCCAATTTGGATATCCTTTTACCTAATATAATACGGAATAATAATTTCATGATGTAAATATAATAATACGAATCAAGTGTACTCTGTGGAAAAAGAATTGTAGTTATTCTTTGAGGACCTGAGTTCGAGCACCATAGATGTCAGGGGTGTGAGTGTTCAATGTCGAGAGGTTGAGAGCTATCTTTGAACATCTATTTTTGTGATTAAGGAATTCATCGTATGACTTGTCCATATACTTTAGAGCAAAATGGTATGATTGAACGCAAACACATACATATAGTAGAAAAATATGATTAACACTTCTCTCAAGCTTTAATACCCCTCTAATATTAGTTTTATGTTTATTTTCATTGCATTGTATATTATAAATTGGTTGCTAACTTTAGTCTTAAGAAATATCTCACCAAATGAGAGATTGTATAATCAAGTAATGACATATGACTTCTTAAAAGTATATGAATGTTTATGCTTACTATATTTACGATCGTTCAATCACCGTAAATTATAATTTCACTCAACTGTATATTTTTACGATATAATCCAATGCATCATGTATCTTGATGAGAATAATCAAATACTTATCTCTCAGAATATTATGTTTGGAAAAATATTTTCCTTTTTATATCCGTAATCATCAATCAAGAGAATTTCTCAATCAACTTTCAAATCACTAAAAATAGCGACCTTTCCTAAACCTTGCCTCTACAATGACGATATATACTATCAACACAAGTTTGATAGGCACTAGTTCTTCAAATGATAATCTTATGGCTCAACATCATGTGGCATCAAAAGCGTTTTCTTTTATACAATACGATAATTATCATCCGAATATCATAGGAAATATTCATCCTACAATCACTAATGGTAAAGTTAGGATTTTTAAATGATGTAACACTGTAACACTCATTGTCTAATCTAATTATAAATTGGGTCGAAGATATCACATTAATCGTATAAAGATATGACTTAGCCAAATCAAAACAAAATGAAGTATTCACACAGCTATATATACATGCATCATTATCATTTAAGGGGTTAATTTGCATAAGTTAACAAATATATAGGCCTAAGGACATTAAACAAACATCTAAGCACCAAAAAAGAGGGTTTTCAAGTTTTTAGAGGATGAGGATCGATATAACAAACTAAAAAATATATATCTAAACTATCCAATCCAAAAATTAAAATATATTCCCAATTACTCGTAAAATAAGACATTCAACTACCTAAATAATTAAATATCGAAATCAAAATATTTGAATACCATTATATATTGGACCATTATTTAAAGAGAATTGAAATGGGGAGCTGAAAAGAAAAAGAATACATGTTCAATCTTAAAAAATGGACAAATAAATTTGAAAAAAAAACGGAAAAAAGTACCAAACATGAACAAAAAGTTTCGAAATTAATTATTAGTTGACCATATTCCCATATATAATGGAGTAAGGGGAGGTAGGGTAGTAGGCTGCCCCTAACGTCAGGTTGAGAGCAGCTTCCGTGGAAGACCTCCGACAGTCAGAATTTATGAATTGCCCACAATTTTCCTTTAATTATAACGTAAAACCATCACCAAATGGATTGTAAAGGATCTGAGATTGGGATAATATCACATGATTATATTTGACATTTGTCAAAGTAGAGATACCAATTGTGGCAATATCCCTTTGGGATCTAATCAAACAATATTATCTAATTTATCTTATAATTTTATAATTACAATGTTATTTTTCCCTTTTTCTTTTATAAATAAAATTTAAAGATTGAACAAAACCGAATATTATTTTAATTTAGATAATAAAATCAATCAATTTAATTACTAATGTGTAAAAATTGGACCGACCGAATCCTTTGGCCTTGCAAATGATTATGAACCACAAAGAAAGGACATAACTGTCATGGAACCACAAAGAAAGGACATAACTGTCATGGAACCAAAAAGAATGGATATAACTGTCAAAATAAAATCTTAAACGAGGGTATTTTAGGAAATATGAAGATGTGCGAAACTCTGCGATTATAAAAATGAAACACCTGGCCAAATCGAAACCCTAATCAGCCGCTAGGGTTTTAGCTCCAAAGTTCAAGTCCATCTCACTTGTTTCTCAAAGGTTCGATTCTGGTATCTCAAAGCTTTCTCAATTTATTTTTACCTCTCTTTTATCTTTCAGCTCATGTTTTTGATTTCCTGATTTTGTTTGTTTCTGTTTCCTTTTTTCTAATTTGATGTATAATGATTTAATTTGAATTAAGACAACATTTTTGGTTGCTTCAGTTCGTTTGTGATTTGGATCTGTTGTATTATTGTTAGATTTATTGTAATCATTAGTAATCGAAGATCTATTTGATTATTTTCTAGAATTGTTTTGCCTTTTTCTTTAAGAACGTTGTATTGACTTTCTGATTTATGTGATATTTGCTTTTAGTATGAATAAGTGATTAATATTCTATGAAGTGGATTTTTATGAGATTTTGTTGAGATTTAATGATTTCTGATAGTCAGCCTGTATTTCAATCATTCTGTCTTTTTTAGATGTTAAACTGTGAAACTGAACTCATTGTTTTGCTGCCTAATCTATTTGTTTATTGTTTATAGAGGAGTTAGGTTTAATTTTGTTTAATAATGTTGGTGCAGATCCTAGCTGATACTGCATAATGGGTAAAGAAAAGATTCACATTAACATTGTTGTTATCGGACATGTCGACTCTGGAAAGTCAACAACCACTGGTCACTTGATCTACAAGCTTGGAGGTATTGACAAGCGTGTGATCGAAAGGTTCGAGAAGGAAGCTGCTGAAATGAACAAGAGGTCATTCAAGTATGCTTGGGTGCTCGACAAGTTGAAGGCTGAGCGCGAGCGTGGTATTACCATTGATATTGCCTTGTGGAAGTTTGAGACCAACAAATACTACTGCACCGTCATTGATGCCCCCGGACATCGTGACTTTATCAAGAACATGATCACTGGTACCTCTCAGGCTGACTGTGCTGTCCTTATCATTGACTCCACCACTGGAGGTTTTGAGGCTGGTATTTCTAAGGACGGGCAGACCCGTGAACATGCTCTGCTTGCCTTCACTCTCGGTGTGAAGCAAATGATTTGCTGTTGCAACAAGGTAGATTTTCATCTTCTTTTTAGTACAGTCTCTCATATAAGCTCATGAGTTTTTGCTTGGTTATTATTTGGTTCATTTCATTGCTAACTATTCTGTTAGCTTCCATACAGATGGATGCCACAACTCCCAAATACTCAAAGGCAAGGTATGATGAAATCGTGAAGGAAGTTTCTTCCTACTTGAAGAAGGTTGGTTATAATCCTGACAAGATTCCTTTTGTCCCCATCTCCGGATTTGAGGGTGACAACATGATTGAAAGGTCAACCAATCTTGATTGGTACAAAGGCCCGACTCTTCTTGAGGCTCTTGACCAGGTCAACGAGCCCAAAAGGCCTTTTGATAAGCCCCTTCGTCTCCCACTTCAGGATGTTTACAAGATTGGAGGTATTGGAACTGTCCCAGTGGGTCGTGTTGAAACTGGTATCCTCAAGCCTGGTATGGTTGTTACTTTTGGTCCCTCGGGATTGACCACTGAAGTCAAGTCTGTGGAAATGCACCATGAGGCACTCCAAGAGGCTCTTCCTGGAGACAATGTTGGCTTCAATGTTAAGAATGTTGCTGTCAAGGATATCAAGCGAGGATTTGTTGCCTCGAACTCGAAGGATGATCCGGCAAAGGAAGCAGCCAACTTCACCTCCCAAGTCATCATCATGAACCACCCAGGCCAAATTGGAAACGGATATGCTCCTGTCCTTGATTGCCACACTTCCCACATTGCTGTCAAGTTTTCGGAGCTCTTGACCAAAGTTGACAGACGATCTGGTAAGGAGCTCGAGAAGGAGCCGAAGTTCTTGAAGAATGGTGATGCTGGATTCGTTAAGATGATTCCCACCAAGCCCATGGTTGTGGAAACCTTTTCCGAGTACCCACCGCTCGGTCGTTTTGCTGTGAGGGACATGAGGCAGACTGTTGCAGTTGGTGTCATCAAGAGCGTGGAGAAAAAGGATCCAACTGGAGCCAAGGTGACCAAGTCCGCTGCCAAGAAGAAATGAACCGTTTGTGTTTTGGTTGATTCAACAAGCCCGCGTCATGATCACTACTGTAGAACTTTGGTTGTGTCGTTCATCAGACTTATAGTTGCGTGTTTTGATGGTGGTTGTCGTTTGAAGTCGTCACCGTCTTCTCAAGGATATTGTTCTCAGAACTGGGTTCTTGATAGGCGGTGGTGCGGCTTTAGTTTCGGAGTCTGCAGTGTGTTTTGCGTACTTTAAAAGGCGTCTTTTATGTATTGTTGTTTTCCATTATAATCATCTCAGAACTTTTAGGTTAGTCCTGGGTTCTTCCCGAATGGTTTATCTGCATTTTATATCATCTAAACTTGTTTTTCGTTTTATTAATTATTTGCATGATCCTTCTACCGTTTTACCATATTTAAGTACGCTGCTATCAATTATATATACGAAATTTCCTAGGGTGAAATCGAGTTGAGCCTAAGCTGAAGTTTTAGGCTTTTTTACGAGTTAGCCTGATTAGAGTTGTAAATTGAGATAAGAGATGATTGGGTTAAGGTTATGTTAATATTTAATTTAAATAAATTTGACTCAGTTTCAATTTAACTTGACTTTTTAGAGTCGAAATGAGATATTAAATATCTAATTTAAAAAAATAATATATATATATATATATATATATATGTATTTAAAATTTGAATTCGAATTTTAACTTCAGTTGAATTAAATATCTAATTTTAAAAAATAATATATTAAATTTATATGTATTTAAAATTTGAATTCAAATTTTCTTAAATTCGAGTTGAATTTTATCTTTTATTTTAGGTCTGAGTCAAGCTTTATAATTTGAAACTCACAAATTTTCAAGTTGAACTTAATTTTAAATTTTTTGAGTTAAGTCGGGTTTATCAATACTCAAACTACAGCCCTAAGCTTAATTGCGGTGAATATTGTAAAAGAAAAACTTTAATCATTTATAATCAAGTTTCAAGCAAATAGAACTTGAATTTGGACTACATCAAAATTAGCAAGCAGCAATAAACTGAAATTTCAACTAAAATCCATGAAGAATGTGTTTCTGTAACCAACAGGCTTATTATCCACGGACTTATCATAATCCTAAACTATATAGATCATTCGTTGTAACCATGGAACTTTCCCAAACTCCCGAGTCCTGATCCCGACCTTCTGAATGATCGACTAGAATCATAAGTTCTTCAGAGCCGACTCGTGAGTTACTTTCTGGGGTGTGAGTCTAGCCAACAAAGCCTTGTTATGGCAGTGCTCAGCATCAACGAAGTAGAAGTTCCCATTGGCTTTAAACGTCACAAATGGCCTGTTGGTCTCAGGTGGACGGATGTCGGCGATTTTGATGGTTCGTGGGACATATGTTGATAGCAAGACATCATCTCCACCTCAAAGCTGTCCGAACCGGGCTGCCACCGGATCTTGTGGATGTAAGGACTCACGAACCAGTGAAGAGCAGCCGTCGTCGTAGTACTCAGGAATATCACAAAGGATGCCACTGCACCTTTCAAAATCACATTCATATCTGGAGAAGTCATGAATGTAATGACAGGGCCTAACGATACCGAGAGGCAGCAGGTCGAAAGAGAGAGCATCTTTACTTTCTTGATTGTAGATGAAATCGGACCGTAGTAAACAACCTTGGCATCCTTCTCATCTCCGTCGTCTGTTCTCCCTTTTTGAGGACTGATGCTGATTTTACTGTCGTCCTCAGTCGTCTTAGCTTGAGAAGCCCATCTTTTTTGGACATCGAAAATGGTCGCTGCATAGTTGAGGTTCGGCTTGGCATATTGGGTGACAGACTGTGTTGCAAACCTATACGGATAAGCTACAGAAACGGAGAGAAGAATGAACAAAAGAACATGAGATTGTTGGTTTATACAATAATTGCAGAGGAAATAGCATCCGCAACAACAACGTTAACAACAAGCATGAATGAAACGTAATTTCATGAAAAAACTTGGATTCATCGAGTTACGGACGGTAACATATTATTCACAGTCCAACATCTGTTTTCCGTTCAAGTGAAATCAAGATTATTTTCTTTCTCGCAATAAAAGCCAAGTGCCGGGTTAGAAAGTTTAACCTCGAGTTGTAAAATTCTAAGCAGTAAAGAGTCCTATATGCTTAGTAGTTTACTGGTTTGGGTTTGAACAAAGAACAAAGGAAATTAAGGAAATCAAGAAACACCAAATCCCCCATCTTTTCTGATATCCGAAAAGATCGGGGATTAGATCGGACACTAGTTAAAGTGATATGGTAAGGAACATGCTACTGAAGTAGAATCCGGAAATTATAACAGGATTCAACCGTCAATGAGAGGCAAACAATCCACAGAAACAGATTCTAAACGACGTCCTGGTAGATCAAATGCCTTGGTGATGGAAAAACTAGTCATCTAATATCACGCAAGAGAATTACAAGCAAAGCACAAGTAGCTGCAAATCAGAACCGATCTCAAGCAAAGATTTTCAAGCATGGACGTATGAACGGATACGGATTTTCATGATGTGCTACATTTTCGTGTAATCATGCGAATATGCGACATTATAAGGATTCAATGATGTAAGACATTTTCGTGATATCATGCACCAGCAAGCAGATATACACAAACATAATAAGAATATACAAATATGTCAAAATCAATATATATTGTTAATCGTTGATCATATCAAAATTTATATAAATATATGATATTTAGAACACAATAATGACAAAAGAAATAACACAAACACTTGTGATGCATGTTCCATTAGATAAGCAAATCTCAGCTTCAACCCACTTCCTTTGGCCAAAAACTCATCGTGGTTTCTGAGTATTATTAACACTTAAATTGCAAATAAAAACCCAGGAAAGTTCAACAAAAAAAAAAAAGATGGCAAACCTCAACGACAACATAAAAACCCAATCTTTTTCCATTTATGTATGTGTAATTTGTTAATAAAACCCAATTCCCAAATTTCAAACAATAAAATCAGAAATAGGATTAACAAATATGGGCTTTAAGCTTTTAGACGAATGGGGATATTAGAATTAAATATTCAAACTCGACATCTAAAGGAGATGGACAAGAAACACAAAAGGGGGGGTTTCCCAAAATAAAGATAGAAAAAGAACTTGAATGGATGTTTCTCGAAATGAGTTGCTTGGATTGAGATTTTAGCAGGAGTAAGAGAGCAGTTCTCGCCATTTTCTCCAAGTTTTTGCAGAGACTGACACTGTGAAAAATCAAAAATCTAAAAGTATTCAGTTTATGAGGGATTTAGATAGTTTTATTTTATATAAAATTAAACAATATTCTGAGGCTCGAAACCATCCAGGGCACTTGGTCTAGTGGTATGTTTCTGGCGTAGGGAGCGAGAGGTCCCGAGTTCAATTCTTGGAATGCCCCCTTTCTTCTCTTTCTTGTTTTACCCTTTTAGGGTACAATTCTGTTCTCAGTCCCTCTATTTTAAAATCCATAAATTTAGTCCCCTAATTCTTTTAATTTAATAATTGAAGTCTAGTAGATAAGTGCTAAAAAAGGATAGGCTCTTTTGATGCAGAAACTGCTTCAAATTAACTAGAAGAATGTGTTAAAACACAATCAACTCATACAGACCAGTAGTTTACTACAATAAAGAAGTAATTTGATAGTATATTGCGGATGATTTTACCGCATTCACATTCCGTTCTGGTGTGTTGATAATTGTTTCGATGTGATTTGATCATGTTGACTCGATATATGTAGTCTTGGAGTTTATTGTTGATGAAACACTATCTGTTTGACTACACCTTGTCTTTGCTTTCCGGGACGAGGCTTTCTGCTGCTGCTGCTCCCCTTGCAGGGGTGGTCCGCGATGTTGCCGGTGACAACACTTCTTTAAGTCATCGACATATAGCAAATCGTCGATCCGTGCCACGTTATTATGTGCCCGGGCATCATTGCTTCGATCAAAGCAGGAGAGTTTCTGCTCTTTCTGCTAGATATTCTCTCTTATCTCCATCAACCATCATATCTTTTACCATTTCCCATGTAGTAGATCGGTTCGGATTGATCGGGAGGTTTCGAGTAAGATCTTCGATGTCACTCGAATATTGAGGCCTCAACACCGTTTGTGATCCCAAGAGCAACGTGTTCCGATGATAGGTCGAGGAAATCGAGCAAGCACTACGCCGAGAATCGATCGGACATTATATACCTATAAATCAAATATCCTAGACAAGCTCTTCCATTTTGCAACAAAAGTTTAGGAAACTGTCACTTATGGCATGTTTAGCAAAATTAATCCCAATTCCCAAATAAAACTTATTATTTGATTTAAGTGAAAGAGGAATTTATTATGTTTGATTGTTGGGATTATTTTCATATGAATTCAAAATCAAACTTTTATTTGACTACAAAATAGCAAAAAGACCCCCAACAAAAGAGTACCCAACGTCATTATCCATTACCACAAAAACCGAGAGTGTTCATGACAGAGTAGAGAAGAAAAAATAACGAAATCCTGCGCAGAGCCTTAATACATGCACAAGGACCAGCAACCATATCATTTGGATGCTACAGCCGAAGCATTCGAATAGGACAGAAAAACATGACACCAGCGCCAGAGAAAACGACACCAACACCCAGAAAATCTGCAGCAACATACAGGCGAAAACCAACCATCTCAAACCATTAGCAATGAGCAGAATCACGTCATGAAGTTTTAATGATTCGAACAACTTGAGAGTTCCGAGTGAAATCTAGTACAGAACCGCATGAACGGAGTCATTTGCTTTTAACCCAAAATCCGATCCGAAAAAAATAAGTAAACATTGAGGATTTTTAAAATAAATATTGGAAACCGGAATCTAAATATTTTATTCATTTATTTATTTTTGCTTATTGATATCTAATAAATAGATTTCTTTTCTTTTTATGGACAGGATTGAAATCTTATTTTTGGCTTCCTTTTATCCCCTTAGTTGTAGGTATAACACATATTTCATTTTATTAATTATACATATATATTTTTTATATCTGTTTTTTTTTATAAATTACGAATTCGTATAATATTAAAATTCAATAATACTTCCTTAATCGGAGCTTATTATTTCCCAGATAATTTTAATGGTGGGAACCAAGCAGCAAGTAATCATAACAAAAATGGGACTAAAGATTCAAGGAGGGAATGTGGTGAAGGGTGCACCATTGGTTGAACCGGGCGACGATCTTTTCTGGTTTGGTCGCCCGAGTTTCCTTCTTTTTCTTATTCATGTTGTTCTTTTTACGGTAATTAGAGTATCAGATTATAACATTAAAAATATATATGTAAACACAATATGTACATTGATTTTGTTGTGCAGAATGCATTTCAATTGGCCTTTCTCGTGTGGAGCACGGCAAGCTAAAAGTATAAATCCAATATTTATTTCTCAAGAAAATATTTAATTAGATTATCTAACAAGTTTCTTTCTGTTCTTTGTCAGTATGAATTTACCATAAAATCTTGTTATCATGAGAAAATCGAAGATATTATAATCATAATCTCTATGGGGTGAGTTTTTTTACTGGAAAAAAAATTACCGATAAAAATGATAAAATAACTATTGATGATTTGGAAAATAAATGAAAAATTGCCGACCCCTCCCCACCAATTTTCAGGGTAATTATACAGGTACTTTGTAGCTACGTGACTCTTCCACTCTATGCTTTGGTGAACCAGGTAAGAAATTAGATCAGTTTAACAGTTGAACAATTCATCCATTCAGAAACAGAATTAGAACCAACTATTGGGAAAGATAAATTGTTTAAGTTCATAATAAAAGAACTCGTTAATCTAAAAAATTAGAGAGATAATTAACTATTCCCACTCTATACACATCAATTTATATATTTGTAGTTGTGTGCAGATGGGAACCAACATGAGACCAACAATCTTCGATGAAAAAGTTGCTGATGCACTTAAAAACTGGCATCAAACAGCAAAGGAACAAATTAAACAAGGCAAGAATTCAGAGAATACTACCCCATTTTCGAGCAGGCCAGCAACTCCGGCACGAGGGTTGTCTCCGGTTCATCTCCTCCAATGGGACTTCGAGGCATTCCGACTTCGAGAATGACCAATGGGACCCGGCCGATTCATTTGCCAACTCTCCCACCCACCGTGATATCAATGTTCCTTCTGTCAATCGTGGTAGATTGCGGTTGGAAACGAGGGAAGTTGTGGACACGACGGTTCAAGAATCAAGCGGTTCCGAATTTGTGTTGAGGTCACCCGGCTCGGTCCGAACACAACACACGATAGACATTAGTCCATCAAATTTCTCCTTTACGAACAGATGATCGAGATCATAGATTTAAATCGATTTTAACAAGGTTCCGAATATCGAAAACAGGGAACCGGATTTTAGATAATATATAGTTTATATTAATTTATTTATTCTTTTGCTCTTTCATGTCCATCTAGTTAGAGTCAACTTTACATCATAATATGTTGAATTTGATACCATTTTTACTTGTAATATTGGAAACTTCTTTTGAAATAAAAATACAAAATATTTTTTTATTAAAAAACTATAAATAAAAATATACAATCATACTACTAAATCCAAGGGTTAGTTTGTTAAATATAAACTATATAAAAATTTATGAAAGCATAAAATTTTTATATTAATATAAATAAATCTAAAAATATAAAAAATAAAGTAAAGACATAGTTATCATATTCCTCCTACATATTTCAACAGATTTCGATCAGAGAAAGAAACTATGGAGAAGTTTTGTGTCTTAAAGTGAAACGTTAGAGTCTAGATATTCAAGAAAAAGAAAGAATAAGGACTAAAATGCTCCGAGAAGATCCATCTATTTCTCAAACATGAAATAAATAGATACATAAAAGTATATCAATATTTGTTAGAAAGGGCTTTAGAGCATTTAAAATTGCATTATGAATTTTCGGTTGTATCGTGTTTTTGATTTTGTTTAAATTTTTAGATATAGTATTTTTAACATAAATAGAAATAATTAATTCTGTTAAAAAATTTAAAAAAATATCTAAAATTACAATAAGGGTTTATAATTAGAATCGTAAACTAAACATATAATTAGGATAATACCAAATAATGTTTAACACAAAAACTAACCATTTAAGATCGTATAAGGACTAAACAAGGAAAAGAGAAAAACTCATATAAAAAAAACTTGAACAATAGGTAGACACGAAAAGATCTGACTGGTATGACAAACAAACAATGATAGGGGATTAAATTATTGAAAAACCACCTAAAAAACGTAAATCAAAGCCAAACATCGTGAGAAAACTATATACGAACACAGATTGCGTATCTAAATCTAATTCGAGAGTCCAAAACAAGGAAGATCAAAGGGATAACAAATAAGTGTCATCTTGATCAATTCTGGTGATGTCAAATCCAACCCTTAAAAAATAAACGACAGGAACGGTCAAACGAACAAAAAAATGTGAAAAAAACATATAAAAATATATTATAAAAGCGGAGAAAATCGTGCCAAAAATATAGAATTTATTAAAATTTAATAGAGATGCAATATAAAAAAATAAAGAAATACTATAGGAGAAAACTAGTATTAAGATTGGCGTCACCACTTATCAACTAAAAATAAAAAAAGAAAAATCGATCTAATACTTACCCGACCCATCCAATTCAGAGATTTAACTCTTATTTTTCTTTTCTACACCTTAGAAGCTGATGTCATTTAATCTATTATTTAAAATACTTTTATAATAATTACGTTGGCCAAAACAACAAGGGCATTTGGTCTAGTGGTATGATTCTCGCTTAGGGTGCGAGAGGTCCCGAGCTCAATTCTCGGAATGCCCCTTTAACGTTTTTTGGGTACAATTATGTTTCCAGTCCCTCTGCTTTAAATCCCATAACTTTAGTACCTTTACTCTTTTAATTTAACAATTGGGCATAAAAATTAGGTTAGGAGTATCTCCCATAATAAGTCTCTATACGGCTTGGTCTATTAGTTGGTTAATAGATCAAATAAAACAAAAATCCAATTGAACAAAACTATCAAAGGACTGAAAACATAATTAAACCTTAGAATGAATGTCTAATAGTAAACCCTTTAAAATTCCACACACTGGGTCGAAGTTAGACTTGTCTTGAAAAATCTTACTTGTTAGTATGTGAATACAAACACTTACGTTTACGAAGAATGTCTTAATTTTCAAATATATTTTCGTGTTGGTTTAGTAAAACATTGACACGTATGCTGATATTTTATTATCATGTTTATAAAATTAACAAGCTTTTCATTATTTTAAAAATATCTAATTTAATATTTAAAATATTATTTTGTCTATTAATAGATTGAACACGGTTGAAATATTTTACGATAATAACTTTTTTAATTCAATTTATTCCGTTCATAATATCAAGATTCAAATCTTTAATATTGTTTAAGAAATTTAATGTATCATCTTACTAAACTAATTAATATTAATAACAATATTATTTTAATAACAAATGTCCAATGATGCCACTTCGTATTTAATGTGTGTTCGAGACATGTACTATTTTAATATATAGACTGAAACTTTTAAATATCAAAACAGACATTTTATATGGACCACATTCGAAGATTTACTATAATTTAGGGACCATTTGCGCCATTTTCCTTTTATTTTAGAACGGGAATTACCTTGGACATGATGAACCATTTTTTCTAATTGTTTGACAAAAGCAAAGTAATTATTTTATTTAAAAATGGAAATCAACTTCACATAAATTATTGTTATTATTAATAATAATAATATTAGTTAATTGCATCATATGTCCTCAACCTATGGTCCTTATCTTAAATCAATCATTATTAATTTTTTGAATATTCTAATTTCATCCCCAAAATATGCCTCTCATTTTAAATAGTCCTCGAACTTTTGAATGTTTCAATTTCATCCTCAAACTATAAACCTCTTTCTAAATTGACCCTCAAACTTTTGAATCTTCCAATATCATCTTCAAATTCATCCAAATATGTAATTAGTTTCAACCATAGTTTAATCTAAATTTCATTTATTTTTCAAACACATAATAAGGGATTCGATTAGAATATACTGATAATTTGAGATGAAATTAAAATGTTAAAAATTTGGAGACCGTTTTATAATAAGGGCCATATATAGTATGAGAATGAAGTTAGAATGCTCAAAAGTTTGAGGACTAAATTAGAACGAGAGTTATACTTGGAGATGAAATTGAAATGTCAAAAGCTTAATGATTAATTTAGAACGTGAATCATAATTCAAGAATGTGTGATGCAATTAACTCGCATTTTATTATTTTGTGAAGCTTGTATGGGTGAGGCAAGATGGTGATGGAGGAGGTCTCACTTCCAAAGTGAGAGTGACTTTGGAAGAGTCAATCAACTCTTTTGGGAATCATTCTATGATTTTATCTTCCATATTTGAAAGAAATTCAAACTCTATAAATAACCCATTTTAGATATATAATTCTAAATACAACAATAATCTATTAAGGACTGCAAGCCAAACAACCACCAAAAGCTTCGAAATATGCATAAAAAATCAAATCAATTTATACCATGCCACCTTATCACCCTTCGCCCTAATCCCAGCTCAAATCTCTCTCTTAGACACAATCTTCGGGACGACAACAACACTTGAACTTCGCTTCTCAATGGATTTTTTTTCAAGCTCCAACTCAAAGGACCATTCATCTTAATTTATTTTATGTAGATAATGAATATTATTATGACAAATTAAAAACAAAAAATAAAAATAATTTGTTTATCTGTTTATTCTTACTGACAGCTAATAAATATTTTTCTCTTTTTATGGATAGGATCTAAATCTTATTTTTGGCTTCCTTTTATCCCCTTAATTGTAAGTACATACGTATTTTCCAATATTCGTTGTTTTTTTTCCTTTTTCAAATGGCAAATTGAAATACTATTAAATTTCTATGATACATCCTTAATCGAAGCTTATTATTTTCCAGATAATTTTAATGGTGGGAACCAAGCTGCAAGTGATCATAACAAAAATGGGCCTAAAGATTCAAGAACGAGGGAATGTGGTGAAGGGTACACCGTTGGTTGAACCGGGCGATGACCTCTTCTGGTTCGATCATCCGCGTTTTCTTCTTTTTCTCATTCACGTCGTTCTTTTACGGTAATCATGTTTTAATTTAAAAACAATTTTTATATTAAATAATAACATAAATATATATAAATACGATACAAGTATCGAATATATTTTTATTAAAATATGTAACATTTCATTATGCAGAATGCATTTCAACTGGCATTTTTCGTGTGGGGCACGGTAAACCAAAAACATAAGCCCAATGTTTGTTTCATGAGAAAATGTTTAATTAGCTCATCTAACAAACTTTTTCTTCTTTTTTTCTCGGTATGTATTTACCATAAATTCTTGCTACCATAAGAAAATCGAAGATATCATAATTAGAATCTCTATTGGGTGAGTTTCTTTTTACTGTTAAAAATTACTGATGAAACTGATCAAATAAATATTGGTGATTTGAAAAATAAATGAAAAAAATACCTATAAAATGTTTTTTCTTCAATTTTCAGCATAATTGAAAAAAGATAAGATATCATATTCAATTTTATCTTTATAAATTATTAGGTCAAAATTTTAAAAAAGTTATGAACTATTCTCACTCTCTATATAACTATGTTTCTAATGCGATCCGATCCAATCTTTATAGATCAGATTTTCGTTCAGACCGACCCGAACTTGTCCAAAAATATTATACATTAATTTATGTACTTTTAATTGTGTGCAGATGGGAACCAACATGAGACCAACAATCTTCGATGAAAAAGTTGATGATGCACTTAAAAACTGGCACCAAACAGCCAAGGAACAAACTAAACAAGGCAAGAACTCGGAGAATACAACGCCGTTTTCGAGCAGACCAGTAACTACAATGCGTGGGACGTCTCCGGTTGTCATGTCCATGGATGAGGAATTAGGGATTTCAGAAGAGCGGCATCAACCAATATGATCCTCAGCAATGGTCAAGACCCTGAAGGCAGAACCAATTCTGTTAGTACAGTCATCTGTCATATAAATAAATTCTCTAATACAACAATTATCCAACCTATATATTGCACGTGACAGACAAAGTATGACTTTTAATGAATGAATTATCAGTTTTCCGAATTGGAATCGATATCACCCGACTCGATCCGAACACAACACTCGATCGACATTAGTCCGTCAACTTTCTCCTTTACAGAAAGATGATCAAGATCATAAATTTAAATTGATTTAAACAAGGATTTCGGTGTTGACAACGAAAAATCAAATTTTAGATGATATATAATTTATATTTATTTATTCTATTGTTCTTTCTTCTCCATCTAATTAGTTTCAACTTTACATCATAATAGGTTGAATTTGAGAGCATTTTTACTTGTAATATAGGAAATTGCTTTTGAAATATTTAATTAAAACGTTATAAATAAAAAAAAATATACAACTATACTATTAACGAGTTTCAATAAAATCTAATTTTTGATACCCTGAACGAAGAAAATTGATAAAGAAAATTACCTTCATAACGAGATTCAACAAAATTCAATCCAGATTAATAAATTGAATAGCAGTGGTGCTATCAAAAAATCATATACCTCCTGTTTCTTTCTCTATTAACTTCAATATTTCCGAGATCTGTTAGGAAAAAAAAGTATGTACATAAATAAAAATAGAAAAAAGAAATTTCAAAAGGAGTTTTGAATAATGAAAATTAACCTCAAAATAGTGGTGCAAAACTGGAGAATGTTGATGAATTTTCACATAGATCTTCTTAAGTAGTTCTTTAAGATGTTCTACTTGATCACCGAGAAGATCCACCTATTTCAAATATATAAACAAATAAAAGTATATCAACTCTAGTTAGAGAGTATTTAAATTTATATAAATGTGTTTTCGGTCGTATTTTCGATTTGGTCTAATTTTATAAGTATCGATTGCTAATTGAATAGGTTAAGAATAAATTTTTATAGGTAGAGTTGTTCATGAGTTGAATGAATCGAATAGGATCAATCAAATTCTTTAGATTCGGACTAATAATTCGATCCTATTCGAGAAGATAAAAGAAAGAGGATAAAGTGAAGTTTAGGTAAATCACCTCAGCTTCAGCCATTTGTAGATTCTCACATCTCCTAATGAAAGCTTTCTTGTAAAGTGATTCCTTTTGGACATGTGAGACAGCGATTTTAGCAACTTTGTCTAGCTGACCCTTCATTTCATCCAACCTGCAAATCCAAATCGAATCGTATATTATTCGGATTCTGAGTGTGATTTTTTCTTATACGAGTTTACACCTAACACAAGTATGTTTAATTATACACTCCATGCTTCAAAGTATTACTTAAAAAAAATTGAACATACTCGTACAGGATACGTATACTGACACTCGTCCGATTCCGAGTAATGTATTATCTCAGTACGCATTGATCAGTTGATTATACTCCATATTCAAGTGATAATCAAAGATCAACAAGATTTTTGAACTAAAATATAGGAAGGAACTGCAGTTCATAGGCAAATTTAAGTACCTCAAGGCATGCCTTCCTAATCTCGTAAATGATTCGAACTCGAAACTCTGCAATGTTTGCGATGAGTCTTGAATGAAGGTTTCAAGAGATTCCTCAATGGAGGGCTTCCTGCAATCTCTGGTAGCATCGAGTGAATCTAAATTGTCTACTGTTATGCCTAACTCGGACCCTAACTCACTCAATAATGCCTTGCCATAATCCAATTGCAGCAAAGCTTTCTCAAGCTTGATACCTGTCGAATTAGTACTGTTATCTTCATAGGTAAAGAACCCGGGACGATGGTTGTGTTGATTGAACTCGAATCCGGATGCAACGTGTTGACAGCATGTACTCTGTTGCTTTGTTTCGGAATAGGCAGTTAGTATCAGGGCTTCTTCGTCTTCAAAAAACTTCACTAGGCTATCTAATATATGTGCCAAATTATCGACTGAGATCATCGAGTTGCGCGGACTTTGTTCTCGTTTTATCCGGTCGTTGGTTTTGTCTAGAGTGCAACCGTGTTTCACTGACTCAACAAGGACAAATTGGAAAATATCCTCCTTGATGAGACTCTCAAGACTAAATAAATATATTTCCATCTGATGTTCCTTGATCATATCAGCTAGGAAAGCCTTCAAAACATCATCCTTGATCGACATTGCTGCAGTTTCGAAGAATTTATCATCAGACTCAAAGTCGTGATTCGAACTCTCATCGACTTTGATCTGTTGCAGTTCGATTAATGCAGAATTGGAAGTGTTTATAATACCTCTAACAATCTCACCAAAGACAATCAAGCACAGTTCCTCACCTAAACAACTTCTAGACTTGAAAGTTTCTATGTTCTCCCTCCATTCGCCGATGATTTTCCGTAAAAGGAACGCGTATATGTCATCCCAAAGTGCTCGAAAGAAGTAATCAGGTTGTGTTGATTGCTCTAGGCTTGTGTTTTCCAAATAGAGTAATGTTTGATGATTTGCAGGTATAGAATTATGAGCAGAATCGAGATCCCATACCGTTGGCTTGGCGAACAAGGTATCATATTTCTCACTTCTGGTTTTCTCGTTCCACTCGGTTTTCATTTCCTCGATCAAGTTTTCATACATATTTTCTTTGACTGGGAAATGTATGTGATGATTGAGCATCTCCATATGAAATTCATCAACAAAACTTCGTAAAAGAGTTAAATAAGTCTCTTCCATTAGCCTGTTTTGCAGATTTGAATCCTCCATTTCTTGTTTCAGAAGCCTTATTTCACTCCATGGATCTTCATTTCTTTCTTCAGAAACTGGGGTTTTTGTAGTCACTTTTTCCCATATTTCTTCCATACTGTGAACGCCGGGATTCTCGATTTCAATTCGACCATCCATAAATGGCCTCGCCTCGGGAGGCTTTTGCATTTCATAGTCATACCTATTGTCACTAAAACAATCACCAATCCCAGGGTTCAGGTTGATTAAATTCTCCAATCTCACAATAATTTCTCGAATGCATCGTTTCAGATCGGCGATATCTTTTCCTTTCCTTGGTGGTAGCGGGCTTGATTTATCTCGAAGAATTTCTTTCGTCAACAGATTGAGCTCGTCGCTTTTTCTTCGGATTGTGGACCCGTGATTCTTTATCATCTTTGTAACAAGGCTTCCATCATCATCCTTGGTTGTAGTGGGCTTAGTCGTACTCAATTTCCTGAGATCGTGACCTCCCGAGAAACATCGTCCTCTCGGTAAACCCTTTGATTTCGAACTCTTGACTTGAGCATCATCTGGGTTACTAATGAACCGAAGCTCCTGGTTAAGGCAATTAATCTCTCGAATCACATCGGCCAAGTGTTTCTGCGACGCCAATGAGGCCTGCACCTCTTGTTTCTTCATTTCGTCTTCGAAACTCTCCCGCGAACCTTTAATCACGATTGCAGATACAGATCTTTCAATGTCCGACATCCATTGATGCTCAATGGGCCCGAGTTCGGATAAGAAAATTGCATTCTGCATCTTAGTAAAGGCAAGATCTAGTGTCTCCTTCAAAATCCCGAGATCCGATCCCATCTGCTCAATTTTCTTGTGGTTGATCACTTGATTTCTTTCTTCATCTTGGATTTGATAATTCGGCTCGAGCTGTTGTTGAATGTTCCATACCTGCTGATCAACCGAATGCTTCAACTCGCAAAATTCGTCTTCCCGGTCCCTAGTTTCGATGCTGGCTTGGCTCCCAAGAAACAACTCATTGGAACCCTCGATTTTCCTATGTTCCTTAAGATCAGCATACAATGAATCCATTCTCTTTTCACTCATCTTCAATGCCTTCTTGAGCTTCATTTCGTTGCCTGATCTCTCCGATAACTCGTTATCCTTATCCGAGATTGCCAATTCGACTTCCTTAAGTCGACGTTGAAGCCGATCCTTGATCTCCGTCAAGTCCTTGAGCAAAAATTCGTGACTGGTTTCGAAATCATAGTTACCCCTTTCTTCTTGAACAAAATTCAAACAACCTTCTAATTGCAGCACCGCGAGTTCGTAGAATTTCGATATCTCGTTCAAACATTCAAGAACACCTTTTTTTGATTTTACTTTCTGATAAGCTTTGTCCATTGATCTGTGAAGAATCTGCATCATTGTTGATTCGGTTATGGAAACTTTGATCTTATTATCAGAACTATCAACTTCAATCATATTCAAAATATGTTCCATTTCCATTGTTTTCCTAGAAAACGCTAGTTTTCCTATTTTCCCCTGGAAAATCTAACAGAAAGTAGAATTAGAAGTTGAGGATGGGATTAGTATGATACATACAAAAGATATTTAAAGGGTTACTACTAAATTGATCCCTGAATTCCACATCTTTTTGCAATTTAGTATATAAAGGATATAAAATCCCAATCAGACGTGTTAATAAGCATAGCAATTATATTATTCGAACTCGGATCATTTCGGGATCGAATTTATATATTTACCCATTTTGAAATGTTGGTTCTAAAATTTAGCTTTGGATTTATTCTTTCCATGGAATATGGATGATATAAGATCTAATGACTAATTCTGTAATGTCACACCTCACACACAAATGTACAACTTAAAATTTAGTATCTATACGTTCACTTTTTTATTTAATTTTGGTTCTTGTGAGTGTAGTCGAATGAATCGATCTAAAGTAATCTTAATCAATTAATTCAATTCATGAATATAAATATTATTTTAATTATTTTTATTTTGTTATTTTTGTTTATTAATGTTAACAGATCTGTTTTCAATAACATTGTTAAACAAATATAAATAAATATAGTTTTCAACATATATAAAAATAAAAAAAATAATTGAGCTATTTTTAACATATAATATCTGAAAGCCAACGGGACATACGAGAATGAAAGTTGAAGGGTCAAACTGATAGAAAAAAATAATGAAGGATCCTAAGTGAAAGTTTTCCTAAGTAGATGTGGTAAAGTAGGTATTAATCCATTTTTAAAATGTTAAACTAGTAAAACGCACGAAACGGCATCGTTTGCGAAACCAAAAGTCAATAATAGCGAGCGGGTAAATTATTCTCCACTAAATGCTTCGATTCTCTCATTATTTATCCAGTGTTAGCGAATTTGGGAAATAGGGTTTTCTCTTAGTTTTTCTTTCGACAAAAACCGAAGATGATCGAGGTGGTATTGAACGATCGTCTAGGCAAGAAGGTGCGCGTGAAGTGCAACGACGACGACACCATCGGAGACCTCAAGAAGCTTGTTGCGGCGCAAACCGGAACCCGAGCCGACAAGATCCGTATCCAGAAGTGGTACACGGTTTACAAGGACCATATCACCCTCAAGGATTACGAGATCCATGATGGCATGGGGCTCGAACTATACTACAATTAAAAAACTATGATTATCAGGGTTTCTATTTTATGTTATCTTTATGGTCTTTGATTGAACAAAGCTTTGATTTTCATGTATGGATGTAATATAATCGTGGATGGTGGGTTCACCTTTTTTAAGTACTGTTAATGGAATAATAAGTTTATGAATTCTGGGTTTTCTTTAGGAAAAAAATGGTGTTGAATTCAGTATGTATATATTATGAAACGCTTTTTACCGTCGAAATATTTCTTTAGAAACTGTCGGTAAAGTATTTTTACCGGCGGGTTTTCATGATTTCAAAATCCAAAGTGATTTTGGTAGGAGTACTTGTAATAAAAATAGAATTTTTATTCAGATTATAATAGATGTGAAAGAATTACATTACAAGGCTTAAAATACATGGAACGAATTATATAAACCCTACTAAACAATCAAACCAATGGATTCATATTTTCACTTTCAATTTGATTGAATGGTAAGGTAAATCAAAATTTAAAAGAATTTATACAATGGTTCGTGTTCGATTCAACCTCTTGATTAATCATGGCAACGCAACGTGAGCCTTTGATAGATCGAGATGATTAAGCCGGCATGTTCCAAGTAGGGATTCCGGTAACTCCTCCTGTGTATTACCCTGAAGAAGTTCGTGATCAACACCATCAAACAAATCTGTTACTCGGATTCGAGTGTGTAATCAATGCAATCAAACAAGTCTATGTTACTCGACACTCGTCTATGTTACTCGAACTTGAGTGAGTGTTAAATTTCATGAGAAAACAATGAGTCGAAGCAACAGAGAAATAAATTAATCAGAATAATAGCAATCTGCGAACTAATTATCTCATTGTTCTTTCGTTGCTTGCTACTCAAGTAAAGTTCACATTCTCAGATATGGAGGAAACTTCGGCCAGAGAAGCCTTACCTGTATTATGAACGCCATTTCTACAACCAAATTGTTCAGATATCCGAGAACAAGATTAGCTACGCCCCGTGCCACCGTAGAAGACCCGATATCGATTTCTGCCTGAAATTTAAATGTGTTTCAGTACGGTAATAACAAATCGAAGACTTAAGAAAACAGAAAAGAACGGAAAAAATGCATCAGTTTTTACAGAGTACAATAATTTGCAATAACATATCAGCAACTAAGACAATAACACAATCATCATTCATGTTCTATTGTACTTGATTCGAGGATTTGCCGATTCGGAAATTCACCTCCAAGTAATTTTTTCCACGAAAGTATCGAGTATCGAGAGCTTGACCAAGTAAGCAAGCTTTCTTTCCAACACTTTGTTTGACTATCCATGATCCCTGGAGAAGAAGATTATTCATTAAAACAGAGTAAAACCCCAAGGGGAATATAGGAGACTTGAAAGCTTAAATTTGAAGTTTTGCATACCTTAGAAATATATGGTATGAGCTTAAATCTCGTGTTTCTATAGACATCATCTCCATTGACAAACTTGCACAGCAATGGGTGATCTTCAATGGGGGTTTTTATCATGTAGTACAGTGCTAGTGTATACGTCGGCGATCCGGGAATCTGATGCATAATGAACGGGAGCATACAATATGATTGTAGATAAAAACCGTACTAAGTAATTGAAAAAAAATGTAAAAATCGAACGAACCTGCATGTTGATGATAAAGAAAAACTCTGGTCCACCACGTTCTGCGTATTTCTGCATGAAAATATTTCAACGAAGCTTATTTCCATCATAGATGTTTAATAACATGAAATCGGGCATTAGAAATCGGGAAATAAACCGACCTGAACGATGCCACCGACTCGGTTGCCCAGATCATCTTCTCGTTTGTCGGATATTAACCAGTCTGCCCCAACCATTTGCATCAGCGTTCCATTTGCCTTGATCTACCACGAAGAGTACAAGTTCAGAATGAAGACAGAACAAGCCAACTTTCTAGCTATGTTACTCAGATTCGAGTACTAGTATCGAATACTAATATGTGTTGACATGGATATGTTCAATGTTTTCCAAGAATTTTCATGTATTTGGAGGCGAAGAGGGTCATATCTTCATACTCGTGTCTAAATATGTATCGAACATTGTACTTCAAGAAAAAATGAAGAGCTGGACAGATGCATGCATGGATGTATATATGCATTCTTGGTGGCATATGATATGTACGTGAATGAATACCTTTCTGTTGTCTTGCAGGTAAGTTTTACCACGTATCAAAAACGAAGAAGGGTCGCCGGCTGACCAACTGCATGGTAAAGTACACGTCGGGTCCTTTTGGAGAGAGGTTCCGTAGGAGAAGACTCTGCCGTCGTCCCGAGCCACCTCTTGATACTCCGTGTAACCCTTCTTTTGATCTGCAGCATGAATAATAGTTTAGAAACATCTAAGATGCATTTGATCCATTAACTCAACTTTGGTTAGTCTAGTCGAACTCACTTGCAAAATTCTGCAATTTTCTCACTAGATGGCTTGCTGATGTTAATTTCGGCAGTGATTTGCTCTGCATGTTCGATTATGATGAAATAAAAAAACAGTTAACGAACTGTTCGAACTCGGTATGAATCGGGAAACTGAAAACTTAATATTGGGGATCAAGAAAGTACCGGAGAACTTGGTCCAGGAGACCACTCACTGTCCAAGCGATCGTAGTCTGTGAATTCATCTGCTTCAGGAACATCAAAGAACTCATCCGCTTCTTCGTTGAGGCCTAATAGACTTACGTGCCCGGGCGTTGTTTTCTCCGCCTTGTCATCTGTTAGAGCATCGTCCTCAATCTTAACATCCTCTTTTTTTGTTTGAGCCAAATGTTTATCACTTGTCCACTCCATAGACAAGCATTCAGGAAAATAGTTTCCTTGTTTCGCTTTGAACAGCTCTCGTAAGGCTGCGAATTCGAAAGTGCAATAAAACATTTTTACACCAATGAAAAAAGGAAAACTAGCGGGATCAATTAGAGGTGTACCTGCAACTCTCTCGAGCATACGAATTGTCCACGATCTAGTGGTCGGTGTTCGGAGATATATTTTCCAGAACTTCCAATCGATAGCAAGCATGTGCTTCACAAGTGACTGTTTTCCATTGTTCACCGGAGAGATAACATACCCCCCACCTATGTAATCGTCAGAGAAAACGTTAAAACCAGATAATTACAGTCATGTTTTATCATCCAAATGAAGTCTCCATAGGTTCGATTGGAAAACTTTTAAGTTCCTAATGTGAAGTATACATTACTTTTTAGATGAGCACGGACATAGCCGTTTTTAGGTGGACGCTTCTTGTGAGATGCAGAGTGGTAAAGAATCACTGCAATAACAACAACAAAACAGATATGTTAAAGCTCGAAACGAACATTTCGAATACTTCATGTGTTTTGTTTAGGATATAGTACCATATGTTCCATCATCTTCTCGTCTCCAATAGCGTTGAAGTAATAAATCTCTTCGTTTCATTCCCCTGTAACAACTGTGATCAATTCGAAATTGAAAATGTGAAATTATGTTCCAAGAAGGCATAGAAATGGAATCTAACCATGGTAGCCAATCACTATGCAACTTCTTGTGAATGATATCGGTATGACCGTCGAGGTGCTCGACGACGCTGCCGTAATAGAGGCAGAAATCCCATCTGCAAGACAGTCGGGTTAACATCTGGTTCATATATACATATAATGGAAATTAGATTTGTAGCAATCTTACTCTGATCTTGAAGGGCCAAGAGACATGATCACACGGAAAATGGCCTCTGAGGTCCCATCGACCACACCGACAGCCATTATTGCCGGAATATCATCCAAACGCTGAGAACAAGAAGTTTCTTCAGCCAAACAAAAACGAGTACAACATTCATGAATAATGTCCGAGAGCAACCTACCCTTCCACGAGAACTCACGTCTTTCGCTTCTTTGAAAAGCCGTAACCCTGCGTTAACGACATATTTCGTCAACGATGCATCGCGCTTGTGAACATGAAAATGTGATTATGAACTTAAATCCGTACCATTCTGACAACCAAATATCTTCCAAGGTGAGGGTGCAACAACATCGGATGTCATTGAATCGGCATTAACGGATGAGTGGAATGGCCAATGGACAGAGACTTTGTTGATTGTGTTCTTCGGATTAACCGATCTGTTCGTACAGGAATATCAATCATTAACGCAAACTAGCATTTCAGAACAAATCAGGAGATTATCAACTGTAATTACCTCAAAGATGACCATATCTTAGGAGAAGGCGAGACATTCTTTGAACGACATGGAGAATCCTAAAGAAAACATTGTATATTATAAGATAAGGCTTTCATCCTGAGATTCTGAGAATAACCATTGAAGTCAAATTTTAAGTTAATTGTGGTATACCGTTAATGCAGCATCCTTCAAGCAATGAATCCACCTTGCTGCTTCCTCTGAACTAGTTGCACCTAACTGTAATGTTTTGATATTAGAGAATTGCTTGCTAATAAAATATGTTACTTGTACTCGATTGTGAATGTCTGATACGGAGCCGGAGCTTTTGAATATGGTTACTTAAAGAAAAATGAAGAACCGGAGTAACATAAACAATATGTTCGACATGAAAATCGACACAGTTCATAGTTTTACTTGCCTTAAGCTGATCCTTATCATCTGAAGTACTGTAAAGGGTGAAAACGAAGCAAACCTGCATGTGGTGAACATATCATATGCGTTAAATATCGACATTGCAGCATAGAAAGGAAACATCATTTATCCTGGAAAAATACTAATCATACCTTTCTGTTAATGCTCGCCCTTCCATTGTCCGTAACCCGAATGCTCGAATTGATTACAGCACTTCGAACAGACTCCTGCACAAGAACGGTTTCGGGTTATTACACTTTGATACAATTGCTGTTACTAACTAAATGGGACCGTAATTGGTAGATTTATAGCATTTAAATTATAGAAGTCTAGTTAATCTATATAGGAAGTTACATAATCACGATTGTGGTGAAAAATGTTAGGCAGTGGTACTTGAAATTGAGCATTAATCATTTCACTATGTTATCTGGAAACTTTCTGCTCCTTCATCCATGAATCCTTTGTTATAGCTATGTTGTTTGGATTCAAGTGTCGGAAACAAGTGCCGGAGTGGACACTTCAAACAAAATGAATCGCTTCTAAGACGTACGACACGATTATTTATTACTGATATTTATTATTTATTTAATTTGTTCAGGTCATGATAACGGAAAGAATTAAAGAGAAAGGTCCTAAATTCAGTTACCAAATGAACTCAAAGCCATCTACCTTATTACAACTCCATCAGTGATCACCAAAAAACCAGTAACAGGATGAAAATTAGATTCATATGGTCACCAAAAAACCAGCCATGACATATAAAAATCCGATTTTCTTCTTCTTTTCCAACTACTAGAATGAAACTTTGATAATAAGAAAAACCATTAATAGAAATATTGGCTATGATAACAAAAAACCAACCATTTAAACAAACAAGAAACCCAGAAAATTATATTTACAAACATATATGTATATGTATATGTATAAATATGATCAAATGAACATTGGGTTCAACTTGGTTTTCAAAACCAATCACTTAAAGTTGAAATCCAGAAAGTTATACACGCAGACATACAAACATATGCGTACATGCAATTGTATAAACATGATCAAATGAACATCATGTTGCTACGTTGTGTAAAAACAATTAATCAAATTCACATGCATTTGCCTCAGTCAATCCATGAAAACCATGATTCTCATAAAACCAAGAACATAACATAATAAATAAAAATGAACAATAAAAGGGAACAATTTTTTCTTTAAAAAAAAGGTTACCTGTTTCTCATAATTGGGGATTTCTTTATAGCTCTTGAGAACATTGTTACGAAGAATGAAGTAACGTTTGCGAGAGAACTGTAAGCCAATACGATTAGAACGTATTGTATATAACCAACCCTCCATTGTTGCTTGATTCTGAGAAACACCCATTGCTTTAAATCACTAAAAAAACCAAAAAATTAAAAGAATATAATCTTCAAGAAGTCGGTTCTTCAACTTCAATGAAGAACTTTTATTGCATGGCAATTATTTTCTTTCCATTTATTTTATTTTATTTTATTTTGAATTTTTGAATGAAGAATTTGGGGAAGATGATCCTCTGATCCCAATAAATGGAATCAGAGAATCAAATTGGGAGAAAACCAGAGGGGCTTCTGAAATCTGCGAGCAATTCAATCTTTTTTATATCATTAGTTTCCGCCTGGTTTGTTAGTTTTATTTCCGAGTTTTCCCTACAATGTTGAAACTCTATTTTTAGAATGTTAACAGATCTCTTCACAATTATTAGAATATGATTATCGACATATTAATTCGAGCTTAATGCATCATCTTACTAACTTTATTATATTTTAAAAATATGATTAGTAGGTAATTTTAAATAAGCCATAATTGATAAAATTTTGTTTATTCTGTTATAATTCTATTTATATAATTTTTAAAATAATGACAATTTTAATCATAAACTTTATGCATTCAATCAATTTTATCCTAATTCAAAATAATTTAATAAATATTTAATATTTAAGAATCTTATCGATTTGATTCTCATTTTACTTTAAAATAATTTAATAAAAACCTATCAATCCAACCTCTATCAATCATTCTTCAGGAACGAGATCACAAACAGTAATGCCAATTACTCATAAAGATAAATGTGAGTCGGATTAAATTGGATTGAATATAATTTTAATTTCGTGACTTAGGAGGTCGTGTGCATCATCATTTAGCATCTATTACTGCATGTATTCAATGTGTCAACGTGATCTTCGGTTAAATATAATTTTGTAAGGATATTGAGAAATTACTTTGAGAATCACTAAATATTTGAATGTATTAAAATTTAGAAAATAAAAAAATATATAGATATTTATGCTCTTTGTGATAAGAGACGGACTCAGGATTTTAGTTCAAGAGATAAAATAAAATTAACAATAAAAAATAAAAGGGGAAAAATCAAAATAAACTAAAACTTGAAGGTTTAAGTACAATTTATCCATATACATAGTTTTGTCTCTATTTGTGATCTTTATGTTACTAATAAATTATTGTTTCTCTCATTTGTAAAGGTAGGCGAAATTAAATTGCGTTAAAGATCGTTTTTTTTGCATGTTATCTATTTCATGTTGATCTCATTTTTTATTCTTTTCTCTCTCTCAAATTCTTAATAAGTATTATCATAGTCATGATCCGAATTATTCAATTTTGAAAGACTAACATTTTTATATAAATTTTGTTAGCAATATTGGAGATAACGAAGGTGAGTTTTACTTCAACAAGTGTTCATTTAAAGAATAATTCTTAATCAATCAACAGCATTTCAACAAATATTACATAAGAATCAAAGTTGTTTAAGACTTTACCATTATACTTCAATTAATATTAGATTTTTTTTCGTAAGGTAAATATTTATTTACAATTTTTATTGACAAATTATATATGTAATCTTAGTCTTACTTAGAGGGAAGAAGAAGAATACTCCACAAAATCATATTTAAAACTTCACAAAACAATAACAAAACCCTAGGACCAACGTCTAAAACTCCATAACAATGACATACCAACTTTCGAATATAAAATAAAATAAATAAAATAAAAAAACATGAACTAACACCGCTAGAGATGGACTTGAGAGGGACGAGTGGGGTTAATCGTTCCCTAAAATTTTTAAATTCCTATATATTTTAATTCTTTTGGGATAATCTATATATTTTAGATATTATTTTTGTATTTTCTAGGTTTGTTTATTCCTAAAATTTTATAAATTTGTTCTCTTAATATAAAATCGTTCATCCGTCCTTAGAAACCATCGTATCTCTCACTAAACACAACTCCATTAATACTAAAATCCAACTTCTTTTAAATTTCGATGCTTAATTTTTATTCTTCAAAATCACTTTCTTTTAATTATTAAATTTCGAGTTCGAGAAAGATTTTGGAACTCACATCCAACTCCATCAACTATGTATAACCTTATCTCGCTAAAAGAAAGATAAAACCATTGTGTGCTACGTAGCATATGAGCTCTTGAGCTTTATAGAGGGTTAAGTTCGTATGAGCTCTTAGGCCTCTCTTGAGCTTTATTTAGATTTAAGTCCATTTTATGTGGCTATAATAAATATATAATACGTCAAAGATAATATAATACGGCGACAAAGTTATTATTTACATTCAATATTCAAATCCTATAAATAAATAAAAAGTCATATTAATTATAAATTTAGAAGATTGTTTCTTCCTTCTTAAATTTAGAACATATACTTAAATCTATTTAATTATTTATCGGATCATAAGATCTTATTTTTAAATCTAATTTTAGTAATTAAATGTATGGAGGGAAAGAACACTTTCTAAAAATTAAATATTTTCAGTCAAATCTCTCTCTTTTTTCCTCCAATTTTTACTATTTTTACACCGAAAATGCCTTAATTCGAGCTTATTCAAACACTTTAACCCCAAACGTTTTTATATATTGTATCAGAAATCAATCCAAAAAAGGGGGAAAGCATTGAAAATTCAATAAAGAAAAAGAGATGGCCTCCGAGAAAAATATGACAGTAATAGTGATTTTTGGCATAATTTTAATGGGTGGAATTTGTTCAAGTCAAAAACTTGCTGATTGTGTGAAGAACTGCATGCCTGTTTGCATGGAGGAAAAAACTGCTGTCAAAAGAGGATGCTTCAATGATTGTGAGGCTCATTGCAAAGCTAGTAAAGGAAAAGAGGAAGAACTTATCTTAATTGGCAACTCACCCGATTGATTTCCTTCTTTAATTTTTTTTAAATTATTATTGTGAGATATATTAGCAACAAATTTATCTTTTATGTTTAGAGGTCAAATTCATTCTTAATGTTTGTTTTATTTTTAATTTGATCATTTTTATGAAAAAGCTTACGTGATCGTTAGTTGATTAACGATCAACAAATATCACTTATGTGATACTCCGAGTATTTATAATTATTAACATGACAAAAAAGTAAAATATATATTCTTTGTTAATATTTAAATTCTTTGCCTCTCTCTCCTTTATAAGAAAAATATGAACATCCGTCATAATCTTCATATTTTCATAATCCGACCATTACTCGCCATGGTAGTCGTCGTGTAAAAAAGACCCTCTCTTAAATGATTTTATCTTAATCTATCTAGATATCACTGTCAAAATGAACTAATTTAGGGGTCATATATGTATAAAGATCGGGTCCAAGTCCAACTGAAATCGACGATGACGAAAACGAATGAATTTCAACAATGATCTAAAATTCAGTGTTGAAAGGGACTTCAAAAGACTTGGGGATTAGGGTTCCGTCGAAAGGAGAACAGGGTTCAATAGAAAACAATCGTTTATGATTTAAGATTTAATCGGATTTGAAGTTTATAAAAGAGTTTTAGCAACACATATTTATGTTGGCCACATTCTCATATCTAAACACTCACACACGAGTTCAAATAACATAAATATTTTAAAGAAAACGAACATCCAAGTAACATAGATTACAGTAACATCGAAAACGTTAACACAAAGACTCGAAATATTGCAGATTGAAGTGCTCCACCAAACATTATACAGTTGAAGTTTGTGTTTTTATTCTTCGAGTGCCTTTGAAAACATGAAACAGAAACTGCTTACCCGCCGCTTATAGGAGGAATAATGGCCAATTCATCTTTGTCTTTAACAACAGCCGAATCAGTTGTATATTCCTCGTTGAGAGCAAGAACAATGCAGTGGCGAATCTCGTCCAAGTTTGGGAACTTCGAAACAAGCTTGTTTAGACAATCTTGTGCAGTACTACCGGATGGAACCTCCACCGATAGCTCTGTCAACCCGGTTAAATCTCGAGCTTTGGCGAAGAACAGCACCTTTATCTGAATAGACGATCCGTCTTTGCCGACCGTTGTGGCGGCGGGAAGATTATCTTCCTTAGTTTTCACCTCCATCATGTTATCAAATGGAAGGCAGCACTCAATTTATCACAAACTGAACCTGCTGATACATCAGAAGTTTCGAACCACCATCAGTATCCGATTTTGATTTGAGGAATGGCGAATTCGAATCTAGTTCTTTGAGCACGGTTCGTAGACCAGATACTGAAGTTCAGCTAGTAACCTTGATTCATGTAATTCTAGAACATGATTACAAGTACATAAATCAGTTGAACACGTCAGATCAGAGATTCAAATTAGGTCAAAACGCATCAATATTTCCCCGATTTCGGCTTCTCTGCTGTCTGTTTTCAAATCAATTGACGATAATAACATGCTTGAGCATGGTTCATGCACCCAACAATCGATTCAAATGCTCGAGTACAGCATTAATATCTACTAGAAACGAGGAATCATGAAACACTAGAACAGAAATTACAATTACATAAATCAGATGAACATTAAAGATCAGAAATCTGAATTAACGGGTTGAAAGTGACAAGAGTAACAAGCAGTAGAATCGAAAAGAGAAAATCAATTTGTAGCAGAGTACCAGATAACACAGCGAGTCAAAACTAAGAATCCCATGAACCGAAGTAGAAATTAATCCTCAAATTAAGTTTAGGTTTTCAAGATTTTACCTTGCTTTACTGGCGCGTCGGGAAATTGAAGGAAAGAAAGAGCTGGGTCGGGCACCGGAGGAGGAGAGGGATAAAATATAGAACTTCTTCGGTGAATAAATGAGAGTACAGATAATAAAAAGCGTGACGATAATATTCGAATTGAAACTAACAATTAAAAAAAATCGTAATAATTAAATTTGAATTATTATTCAAGTTAGATTCAAGTATCAAAATATTCAATTCAAATGATAAATGAGTTTAATCCAATTTTATGTGCATGTCCTACAAAGGAAGCAATAACATTATTGATACATTTTTTTTAAAAAAACTTTTCTTTTCTGTGTGGCTCAATTTAATTGCAATTGGCAACTTTTTGGGTTTCTCTCGTCTTATGTGAGTATTGTATAAAGAAAGGGAGGGCAAAGTGTGATGTGGTTTGAATCAATCAAGTGAACGTAATTAGTACTAGTGCATAGAGCTTTGTGTCTGGGTTCTTCAAAAGGTGGTTGTATCAGCTACTATCAAATATTCTATCTCCACCATTACAGAACTGTGTTATTTGGATAAGCTCTCGGCTCGATCGGCATTACTGTAAACTTGTCTTTCCACTTATCCTATATCTGGACAGTTAACAACGCTATGGCTAGGTATACATGGAGCAAGAATGGTTTTGGGATGCATTTATCGATCGTTCCATGTTGAAGACCAGTGCCTGGGGAGGTGCGAACCACTATAGATGAACCTATTGTGACGTTTTTCAAAAATAAAACGTCACTATTGTTGCGGTTTTATTGAACGTTTTTCAAAAAAACGCCACTATTATTACCCAAAATCGAATATATCTAAAAAAATAAGGATCTTTTTATAAGAATTTGTACAGACCCCCCTGAAAACCTAGCCACGGCCTCACCAACCTGATCTTCCAAATCACTTCTCTGCAACATTGATGGCGAAGCTTGCGATCACAATTTGGCTATGATGCCAAACTGTTAAATATTTCATGAAGCCAGTTGTGAACAGGTTCGAGGGAGAAAAATTTTCTGCCATGGCTAATGTTTTCCGGGAAGATACAGTGTGAAGCATAACATGCATCGGCTCTTTAATAGGGTTCATGGTCAACTTCAACCCCATCAAACAAACTGAGAAAATCAACCCCGATCTCAATGCAGCCATTAAACCATTTCCGAGTATGCTTGCTGCTTACTATATAACCTCAGAGACTTGAACGATTAGCAGCATTGGGATTTCTTATCTACGATTAGCAGCATGTGAGAATATATGTCCAATGCGGATATATTCATTTAGAAAAACTCATCTATTTTGTGGATCTTTCAAATGTTGTACCACCACACCCATGTTCGAGGAATGAGTATCGAACATGGGTTTTGTAACTAGATTTGTTCATGGATCAAGTCAGGTCTGATTGTAACTAAAAGATTTTATACATTGTCCAAAGGTTGACTTTTGAACAAGTTTTGTAATAACAAGGGATAGGGTAAAGGTGTTGCAAATGTCAAAATTCGAATTTCATAATTGTTTGTAGCTCTCAATTTGAGATTTTAGAATAAGCATAGTTTATTTCCTCTAACGGGATGAGACACTACATCTTTTAAACTATGCTTAGAATTTGAATCTTTAACATTACAAATATTATCTCATAATGAATCTTTGCACAATTCAATCGTATTTCAAAACAAAATTAAGTTAGGACCTAACATAGGTGAATCATACCAATCCATATTAGTAAAACAGTATTTCCAAAGCTCACTTGTGTCACTACCTCCCTTGCTTTCATCCATTTTTGCCTTCAGTACCTTGCAACCATTGTTCTAATTTAGCCTCTTTGTCAGCCTTGAAATCTTCATAGTTTTCAGGCAAGAATGATAATTTTTGATGCGGAGGTTCGATGTCGTCTTTGGTTTCTTCCATTTTGTCTTCTTCGTTGACTTCATCAGCCATTTGACTCGATACAGGTAGCTCATCAGCTTCTGTATCTGGAATTGTACTGGTGCTGGTAGATGCAACCGATAACGGTGGATCTGGTTGCAGAGGCGGCTTATGGGGTTCGGTTTCCACCTGTTCCTTGGAATCAATTTGCGACCACTTAAGATTGCTTGCTTTTTGTTTTGCGGACTTGATTACAGTCGAAAAATAAGTACTGCCACCAAACTGTGCATTTCCGGAACCGGGACCCCATGACATTGGTCCCCAAGAGTTTGTTCTTCCCATCTGAAAGCTTGAAGCAGAACTTTGGATCAAACCTCTCTTTGGTTGTTTTGCGGACATTAATGTTAACGAACTCTTAATGTCTTTAATCATCTCATCTGCAATTGGGAAACCGCATTCCTTCATCGATCTCACCATGGTGATAGAATCTTCCAAGTCCTCAGTGTGTAATGTTGCTTCATGAGACTTCTCTACAACATGATCACGGAGATGGACTACATTTGGAATGGCATTCTCGGTGTGCTGTTGAATGTAGAAAAGTCCAACTGATGGTTCATTCGCTGCGAACTTGATCATATCTGCTAGGGATTCAGTTATCTTCACAAAGCCATCTACGGCGGAGAAACCATTCATCTTGTTGAAGGTGAATGGCGGTTCATCACTGAAGTTTTTCAAAAATCACAAATTGAAATGCATGTCAAGAAAGGGATGTTTTAAAAGAGAAAAACTAGGCTATCTGATCATGTCTAATATTAATATCCAACACATACCGAACATATATACGAGTATGATCCTCTGAATGAAGAAACTTAGAAAAACTCAAATCGTGTCGGATACATACCATATTTGACACTCATCCAAATTTCGTATAACAACAACAACAACAACAACAAAACACAATTCTCATATGTATGGGGTAAGGGGGAGGTAGGGTAGTAGGCTGCCCCCAACGCCAGGTTGAGAATAGCTTCCGTGAAAGACCTCCGGCAGTCAGAAAATTAAAAATATAGATAAAATGCAATGCATGTATAAATAATTACATAAATACATAGCTAAACAGTATTCATATGCAGTCATTAATATCATATGTGCTTCTGTAATGGGGAGTAATCCCTGCAAAATAATCCCTGCGAAAGAGTCTCTGCATATAGACAGAAACCTAAGACCCGGCTAAAATTAACAGAGGAAACATGATGAGAATGATACACATGAGACAACGATAGCAAGCCCAGTTCTAATCTTTCATAAATACCAATAACAGAAAAGTATAAAAAAGTAAAAGTCAAGGAAATAACTACAAATGCATTTAAAAGAAGACAAAGATGATACACCCTATAGATGTGACCCACACTACTCGACTACCCTAGTCTTAAGCCTCCATAATTTCCTATCATAGGTCATGTCTTCGGTAAGGCCTAAATCCCTCAAATCAGATCTCAAGCAGTCATCCCACTTCCGCCTTGGTCGTCCTTTCCTTCTGGCACCGTCGACTGTAATCGACTCTACCCTCCTGACCGCATCCGACGGTAGTCGCCTAAGGACGTGCCCAAACCACCGTAGTCTTCCCTCCCTCATTTTTTCGGAAACAGACATCACCCCTAAGGACATCCTAATAGCAGAGTTTGTCGTCATATCCCACAGAGTCCTACCACATGTCCATCGAAGCATTCTCATTTCTGCGGCCTCTATCCTCCTTACGTGATCCTTCTTGGGTGCCCAACATTCTGATCCATACAACAGTGCTGGTCTTATTGTCATTCTATAAAATTTTCCCTTAAGTTTTAGAGGCACCTTCTTGTCACACAAAACTCCAGTAGCAGCCCTCCACTTTAGCCATCCCGCATTTATACGGTGTGTAACGTCATCATCTACACCTCATCTTTATGTATCATAGACCCTAAGTACTTGAAACAATCCTTTGAGGGAAGAACGTGTCCTTCTATGCATACTTCTACATTTTCATCATTTTGGTTCCCACTGAAGTTTGAACATAAATACTCTGTCTTTTCAATATTGATCCTTAAACCTTTTTCTTCCAAAGCAGTCTTCCAGGTAGCCAGTCTGCTATTCAACTCAGATTTTGTTTCAGCCACTAAGACAATGTCGTCAGCGAAAAGTGATGTAAACAGAAACAGTTAGAAAAAAGTTGATCCCAAATTTGCACAATAATCATCACCACACACCTTATTCATTTAACCCTAGAACCCTAATCCCCAAACCTAATTTTGACCACAAAGTGCAGAATTTGATTTCTCAAAAGGCCCATCACTAAGCTCCTGTGGCTTCTGACTCTATGAACAAACCTTCAAATTATATCAAATCATTTCCACATAATATTTCCAGGATAATTCAATGAATTCTAGGGTTCATTTTCTTAGTAAAAGAAGAAAAATCAAATAATCAAGCACAAATATCTGCAATTTAACCAAAACAAAAACAACCCATTGAACTACAGAGACAAAAGATTTAAAAAAATCATTATAATATATACCCAAATTAAAACATCAGAAAATAACAATATCCCAGAAATCAAAACTTTAATTTCTTCAATTAAAAAGAAGGAAATTTACTTACCAGACAAAACGATTAGAAGAAAAAAAAGGAACAATCTTCAGGTTTTGATCAAAAGGAGAAAGATTAAAGTTTCAAGCTTGGAGAGTAAAGCCTCTTCTTTTTAATTATGTTATCTCTGTCCCTTACCAGTGGAGCTCTGTTGGAATTTATTTATTTTTCTTTTACTGTATAAATCCACAACGTTGTCTGAAATGAAATGAACTAACGGCATGTAAAGACATAGTTAATACATATTTTAGTCCCTGAATTTGATTATAGCCTATAGGTATCTAATTATAATTTTATTTTTTATACTAATTTATTATCTAATTAATCGAATTATGTTATTTAATTTTAATTATTAATAATTCATCAAGTGATTTTAATAATAATATAAAATGTCTAAAAAGCTTGAATTATAACAGTTATGTTTGTAGAATTATATACATTGTCAATAATTAAGAAATATTTATCTTGTAATCACCTCATATTATTCATATAAATATAATTAATTAATTAAATTTTTATATTAATATTGTCGCAACCGTCTTTCGGTTGGGCCCCGGAATTGGGCTTCGACTTAGGAAAATGGATTGGAGTCGCCACCGACCACTTTAAAACGAACTTAGGTGGGTCGGACACCATCTTACCTGATCTGCGTTGTACCAGAAATGTGTCGGGTTTGGGAGTCGGTTACGGTCAAGGAAGGATTAGCACCCTTGAACCGCCCTTTCGGTACTACGTAATTTGTCGGCTGTCTTAATTATGAAAATTTAAACTTTAAATTAAAATTTAAAAGCATTCAATTTAAATTATTTACCTTTGATCAGTTGGAATTTATCTACAAAGTTAAAAATGTTGGAGAAAATAAATAAATAAATAATAAATCAAAAGAAAGAGAAATTAATTTTTTTTAAAAAAAAAGCAAAATAAAGTAGAAATAGATAAACAAATAAAACAAATCAAATAAATGATATGGATTTAATAACACTAATTATCCATATAAAAACTGATTAATTAATTCACAAATTATAAAAAAAATATTACTCAATTGCGGAAATTAACCAGATCAATTAACACCTCAATTACCTCAATCAACACCGTAATCGTTACAACAATCATCTCAAACCATGGAATCTTAATCACATTAATTAATCAATTAAAAGCCACTTTCATTCCAAATTAACCAACCATGCACTAAAAGAATTAAGCAACGATTTTAGGCAAATTTGATTTGATAAGGAGAATCAATATTTTAATTATATTAATTCATGCCATAAAAAAACAAAGCCTTCGCATGGGAACTAATTAAGTCACATTCACTCCAAGCAAATTAGTCATGAACGGAAAAACATTAAGCCATGATTATTTAGGGCATAATTAATTAAATCAAGCCTAAATTAGGGACCTAATCGAGGCCACTCTACAGTGGAAAGATATAATTCATAGTTTACCCAAAGAAGCAAAAACATTGAATATAACTAAGAACTAAACCCTGATTTCATTTTATTCATTTTTCATTTTGGCAGCCTCCACTCTCTCAAAGTTCTCTATGATCTTCGGCCAGAACTAAAAACAACCATCATAAAATGGCATCGTCCGTCGTCACCGACCACCGCCGGCGGTGACTGCCCCAAAATCCAACTTTAAAACGTTTTTAAGCTCTGAGTGCAAATCCGAGGTTAGTTTTCAAATAAATCACACAAATACGTGTAAATCTACAAACGAAAAATTTCAACTTTTACCTTCTTCAAGCTACAAAATCATCCGTCGAACGCTGGTTTGCTTTGAGTTTTGATGTCTCGGTATTCCTTTCTCCAGATTAAAGAAAAAAAAAACTCTCTTTTCTTCTTGTTGATTCACGATCATATATTTTCTTTTTTCCAGAATTTTTGTGTGTTCTAGGTTTACTCTCTGTTGATACTCCTGATTTTCGTGTGCGATTTTCTCTTGATGCTTGTGTTCTTTCCTCTCTGAAAAAAGGCCCTCTTTTCGTATGTAACGGATGTATTTCCCTCTAATCATTCCCCCCTTTTCTTGTGATGTTTCATGCATATTTATAATGTTTAGAAGCCTTGTTCCGTTTGATTTTAGACTTCTAACGATGCCAAACTACTTGCTTGTTTGTTGGTGATATTGGTGTCGAGAAATCCGCTGCATGGGTTGTTGGATGCGTGAGGGGTCGTCGGCGGGAGATACGGCTCTTGAGGAGAGGCGACTGACCACTTCGCAACAACCCCTAATCTGTTCAGGTCTTAAATCGGGTCGGTCGAGCTTTGGACCCGATTCGCGGGTCTATTTGGCAGCTGAGCTATTGGGTCCCCAAGATGTCATCGGGTTGGATTACCCTTGTAATGAAATTGGCTTTGAGCCTGCTGCTTGTACTGTTGGACCTATAAAAGGAAAAAAAATATAAAATAAGTATAATATATTAATAATAAAAATGAAATATTAATATATTAATATATTAAGTCAGACGAAAATTAGTGTCCACAGCTGCCCCTCTTTGTCATTTTTCGTGGAACGAAAAATAGGACAAAGACAAAATAGGACAAAGACAAAGACAAAAAAAACAAATTTTCGTTCGTCGTAGAAGTTGACAAAGTTGAAATTGGCTCTGAAATTGAGAAGTTTTTGTTGACAACCAGCGGTCCCTTCGTCGTGAAGTTGAACTTGCGTTGTCTTGAGTCCAATATCATTCGCTGGGAATTTGAAATTGGCTCTGAAATTGGGAAGTTGTTTATTGACAACCAGCGGTCCCTTCGTCGTGAAGTTGAACTTGCGTTGTCATGAGTCCAATATCCTTCGCTGTGAAGTTGAAATTGGCTCTGAAATTGAGAAGTTGTTTGTTGACAACCAGCGGTCCCTTCGTCGTGAAGTTGAACTTGCGTTGTCTGGAGTCCAATATCCTTCGCTGTGAAGTTGAAATTGGCTCTGAAATTGGGAAATTGTTTATTGACAACCATCGGTCCTTCGTCGTGAAGTTGAACTTGCGTTGTCTGGAGTCCAATATTCTTCGTTGTGAAGTTGAAATTGGCTCTGAAATTGGGAAGTCGTTTGTTGACAACCAGCGGTCCCTTCGCCGTGAAGTTGAACTTGCGTTGTCTGGAGTCCAATATCCTTCGTTGTGAAGTTGAAATTGGCTCTGAAATTGAGAAGTTGTTTGTTGACAACCAGCGGTCCCTTCGTCGTGAAGTTGAACTTGCGTTGTCTTGAGTCCAATATCATTCACTGGGAATTTGAAATTGGCTCTAAAATTGGGAAGTTGTTTATTGACAGCCAGCGGTCCCTTCGTCGTGAAGTTGAACTTGCGTTGTCAGGAGTCCAATATCCTTCGCTGTGAAGTTGAAATTGGCTCTGAAATTGAGAAGTTGTTTGTTGACAACCAGCGGTCCCTTCGTCGTAAAGTTGAACTTGCGTTGTCTGGAGTCCAATATCCTTCGCTGTGAAGTTGAAATTGGCTCTGAAATTGGGAAATTGTTTATTGACAACCAGCGGTCCCTTCGTCGTGAAGTTGAACTTGAGTTGTCTGGAGTCCAATATTCTTCGTTGTGAAGTTGAAATTGGCTCTGAAATTGGGAAGTTGTTTATTGACAACCAGCGGTCCCTTCGTCGTGAAGTTGAACTTGCGTTCTCGAGCAAATTGTGTTGTTTCGAGAGAAACTTTCAATCTGTCGAGTTGGTCGAAGTGTAGCTTCTTGATGCTGAGTTAAGCAACCAACATCAATCTTTAATGGTGCTTTTGAATCGAGTATCCTTCGTCTTGAAGTTGAAACTTGACTCTAAAAGCTGCAAAAATTATGTATGTGGGAAAAAATGATGCTCTAAAATGTATGCATAAGATGCATATAACATGAATTGGTTTATATTTTATCTCTGAAAAGGCCTGGTAATTCGCATTAGGATTGAATCCCCAAAGATGCCCAAAAAAATGCCCCAATATTTCATGTTGAATCTTCAAAGATGCCCTAAATGTTCCTTATTTCTTGCTTCAGCATTGATTCTGAGCATGAGTTTTGTGTCTAAGAGTCACATGTCATTTACCAAGATCCACTCTAGAGAGAATGTCTTGTTTGAAAAAAATGTTTTTCTTTCTCTTTTAATATCAATTAAAAGAGTTCCAAAAAATGTTTAATCCCAAGTTTTAAAAATATTGCCCCTTTCACAGTTTTATAATTGAGACGAATCATAAAACTAGAGTTCATTGGATATCAAAGAATTAATTACAATGTTAATTCTTCAATAAATTATAGCTATTTGACAAGTGTCAAGATCAAAGCTATCTTTGGGAGATGGTCAAGTAAGGAAAGGATAAAAAGTCTCAGGTCATTGTGTTTGGTCAAAGGTTTTGCATTTGATGTTCAAAGGTTTGGTATTTGATGCTCAAAGGATTGATGTGGTAGCTTGCATGCTTCTCTACTAGAAGTGTTCTCTGACTCCCAACCTTCGTTGTTACACTCGGATTGTGCGATGCCTTATCAAGGAATTTGTGTGATCGCCTCAGTTGCACAATTTTTATATTCGAGCCGCCTTTTCAGGTTTTCAACTCGAATACTCCTTTGGTTTCAAGACGTTATTCAGGATTTACGTCTTGAACCCCCTTTTGTTATTTTTCTCTACCATGCATTAATTACATTGTTTTTTACAAACAAAGATTAATCCTGATGGGCAGGATGAAATCTGAAGATAGTCTCTTCTGTTTAGAAATCCATGTATGATTAGAAGGGACTTTTAAGGCACGTAATGTAGGCCAGGGTTTTTGGTTATGAAAGAAAATGATAAATAGGCCCAAACAAGTGTTTCAGGGTGTTGAACCAAGGATCAATTCATTCTGATGCCTTCAATCATGTCTTGCTCAATTTGGATTTGCTCATATGTGTTTCTCTAGATTTTCTCTGGATGTTCCATGATCTTCGAGTGAAGTGATTCAGAGATTCGAGAATGACTGTGCTTGATCAATCTCATAGTTTGAAGCTTGATGTGCCATTTGTCTTTAAGGAATCTTTGCATGTGCTTTTTTGTCCTTTTTTCTTTTTTCTTTTTGTTCTTTCTTTTTTCTTCTGTTTTCTTTTTTTTTTGCTTATTTTCTTTTTTCTTTTTTTCCTTTTTGTTCTGATTGAATCTTCGCACTTGGCATTTGGTTCACCTTTCGGTATCTCATCTGAATCAATGCCTTCAC